ACTGATGCACATGAGCACGGAGACCTACGCATGGGAGCTTGTGGACAGCCCAGGTTTGTTGGCCAATTTGGTGCTTGAGGCCAATTTGGTGCCAAATGAGAGCATTTGCTGAGGTGAAAATGAAAATAAAATAAGAATGTTTTCCTGAAATGATCAATCATGTCTGTGCTTCTCAAGGTTTGAATGAGATGAATGCTGACACACTCTGTGCTGTGTGGAGTGACTGGATTCAGAATTGGGGTTGTAGGTGGACCTGCCACAGTACTTAGCCTCAAATTCACCTTCGAGATGCTGTTGTGCCAGAAGCTGGTGGACCAGATTCAAGAGCTCTGTTCGGCCTAATCATGTGCCTAGAGCATAAAGGGTAGTGTTTCTTGCTTTAGGAGGTAGTAATTTGCTTTACTTTCTCATCCCCAGGTAGGGGACAAAGATCTAGGCCAGAGTTGAGGATCTGATGGTTTTCATGACTTTTTTTTTTTTTTTTTTTGGTCGGTTGGGGGCTTGAACTCTGGGCCTGGGCACTCTCCCTGAGGTTTTCAGCTCAAGACGGGTGCTCTACTGCTTGAGCCACAGTGCTACTTCTGGTTTTCTGGTGGTTAATTGGAGATAAGAATCTCATGGAGCCCAGTGCTGGTGGCTCAAGCCTGTAGTCCTAGCTACTCAGGAGGCTGAGATCTGAGGATTGCCGTTCAAAGCCAGCCCGAGCAAGAAAGTCCATGAGACTCTTATCTCCAACAAACTACTCAGAAAACTGGAAGTGGTGCTGTGGCTCAAGTGGAGCACTAGCCTTGAGTTGAAGAGCTGAGGGACAGCGCCCAGGTCCAGAGTTCAAGCCCTATGACTGAGGGAAAAAAAAAAAAAAAGTCTCATGTACTTTCCTGCCCTGGCTGGCTTTGGACCATGATCCTCAGATTTCAGCTTCCTGATTAGCTAGGTATGAGCCACTGGCACCTGGCTCGTGACTTCTTTCAAGTGTGCCTGAGCTTCCTTTGGGCCCCTGTATAGGGATGGCAGACAATGGCCTGAGGCCTGTCTTGTTTCTGTAATTTAAAGTTGTTTTTAGGCCAAGAAGCTTTGTACTGGTATGTTGTCTGTTGGGTCTCTACTTATGGCAGTACTGGAGATTGATCCTAGGATCTCCCTTTCACTCTACCACTTGAACTATGCCCCCACACCCCCATTTTTTTTTTGGTCAGTTGTAGGGCTTGAACTCAGGGCCTGGGCACTGTCCTGAGCTTTTGAGCTCAAGGCTAGTGCTCTACCACTTTGAGCCACAGGTCACTTCTGTTTTTTTTTCTGGTGGTTAATTGGAGATAAGAGTCTCACAGGCCATCCTGCCCAGGCTAGCATTTACCTGAGCTCTTCACATTTCAGCCTCCTGAGTCGTTCCGATTACAGGCGTGTGCTTCCTGTACCCGGCATCTTTTTTTGTTCGCTTGTTGAGACAGTGTGATTATGAAGCCCAGGCTGGTCTTAAATTTTTGGTCCTCATACCTCAACCTCCCAAGTGCTGGAATTACACAACCACATCCAAAACTTGAGGCCTGTTTGGGTATGACCCATGGACTAAGGACGGTTTTGACAGTTTCTTTTTTGATGTTGGTACTGGGGTTTGAATTGAATGTTTCATGCTTTCCAGGCAGGTGCTTTACTGCTGAGCCATGGCTCCAGCCACTTTTTATTTATTTATTTTTATTTATTTTGGGTCCAGTCGTGGGGCCTGAACTCTGGGCTTGGGCGCTATCCCTCAGCTCTTCAGCTCAAGGATACCGCTCTACCACTTGAGCCACAGCGCCACTTCCGGCTTTTTTCTTTTTGCTTATGTGGTGCTGGGGAATCGAACCCAGGGCCTCATGCATGCAAGGCAAGCGCTCTACTACTGAGCCACCTTCCTAGCCCCACTTTTTATTTTTATTTTGTTTTTGGCTGGAACCAGGGTTTGAACTCAGAGCCTCTTGCTCACTGAGCTTTCTTGCTCAGCAGGTACTCTACCAATTGAGTTATGCCTCCAGTCCAGATTTTTGCCGGTAATTTTGGAGAGGAAGTCTTGAAGACTTTTCTGCCTGAGTTGGCTTTGAATTGTGCTACTTTGATCTCAGCCTCCTGAGTAACTAGGATTACAAGCATAAGGCACTGGCATCCAGCTTATACATTTGTCTCTGAGATAGGGTCTCATTTCCTGCCTGGGCCACTTGAATGTGGCCTTTATTTACTTATTTATTTCCCATCTTAGAGCTTTAACTCAGGGCTGGGTGCTGTCCCTGAGCTTTTTTTATTTTTATTTACTTTTTTGTTGAAGATGCACTCTCCTGCTTGAGGCACAGCTCACTGCTGACGTTGTGGTGGTTAATTGGATATTAAACGTCTTATGGATTTTCCTACCCAGGCTGGCTTCAAATGTGATCCTGAGATCTGGGATTACAGAGGCTTGAGATGCCAGTGCCTGGCTCAGCTGTCTGTTACAAACAACAACAACAACAACAAAAAGCAAAGGTTAGCTGGCCCTGTGTCTCACGCCTGTCATCTCAGCTACCCTCAGTATCTGGAGTAGGTGAAGACCGGGAGGATCAAGGCTCAAAGCCAGCCTAGGCAAAATGTCACTGAGATCCTATCTCAATAAACTGGACATGATGGTACTGGCTTGTATCCTTGCTACAAAAGAAGCCTTGGGAAGATTGTAATCTGAGGCTGGCCGTGGATGAAAAAAAATATGACTTTACCTGAAAAAAATTGAAGCAAAAAGTGCTTGGAGGTGTGACAGAGCACCTGGCCTGCCAAGCTGGGGGCCTTGAGCTCAAACTACCAAAACAAAAACAAAAGATGAATGGCACTGGTGGCTTAAGCCTGTAATCCTAGCTTTTCAGGAGGCTGAGACCTGGAGAACTGAGGTTTGTGCCTTGCCTGGGCAGAACAATCTAACCATCAAGCGCCAAGTGAGTACTTTGCCTTGAGTTTAAAACCTTCTACTGGCACATTTGCACACCCACTCACAAAGGTGAATCTGTGACACAACAGGAGTGGCATGTAGAGTGCATTGTTCCTCCTCAGCACTCAGCTCTTTGGGCTGGGTCTTTATTGTAGTTGCAGGAAAGACTGTCTTGAGGATGTAGGTAATTAGCAGAGCACTCCTATTCACTGGGTGCCACTCCCACACTTCACTTACTACAACCCAAAGTTTATCTCTACTTTGCCAAGTGCCCTGGGGGAATAATATTTTCTATGTTGAGCTTGGTGGTGTAATCCTAGCTACTCAGGAGGTTGAGATATTAGGATTGAGGTTCAGAGCCAGCCCAGGCATCAAAGTCCTGTCTCCAGTTAACCACTACACACACACAAAAAAGCCAGAGGTGGAGGTGTGCTCAAGCCCCAGGATTGTTACACACACACAAAACTGTCCCCATTGTAGCCGGGCGCTGGTGGCTCACACCTGTAATCCTGACTACTCAGGATGCTGAGATCTGAGGATCACGGTTCAAAGCCAGCCCAGGCAGGAAAGACTGTGAGACTCCTATCTCCAATAAACCACCAGAAAACCAGAAGTGGCGCTGTAGCTCAAGTGGTAGAGTGCTCGTCTTGAGCTGAAGAGCTGAGGGACAGTGCCCAGGCCCCGAGTTCAAGCCCCACAACCGACCAAAAAAAAAAAAAAAAACCCACAAAAACAAAAAAACACTGTCCTGTCCCAGTTGAAAACCACTAGGCTAAAACCTTTAGTGTCTGGCTGGTTGCGAGCAGGTGTGTTGACCTCTGCTCTAGCACAGCAGCCTGACCAGTGGAGTTAACTTTGTCCCCTTTGTCTGGGATGGGGTTCAGTCAACTCAACTTTTGCGATCACTTTCTTAGGTGGCTGGCTCCTCCCCCCCTCCCCCCCCCCCAGGGTTTGATTGCAGTAGCTGACCCTCAACCACTTGAGCCACACCTGCATCCTGGCTTTTTGCTGGTTATTTTGGAGATAGACTTTTCTGCTTCAGCTGACCTCAAACCATTGACCCTCGGGACTAGGATTACAGGTGTGAGCCACCAGTCCTAGGTCAAACTGAACCTTGAAGTGGTTTTCCTTGTGATTTTTAAAAATTTTGTTTTTCATGTGTTTGATTTTATCTTGTCAGTTTGGAATTGGGCAATCGGGGTGTTGAACTGCTAAGCATATACTGGATGTGGTGGGACATACCTGTAAAATCTCAGCACTCCAGAGCTGGGAATGTGGCTCAGTGGTAGAGTGCTGGCCTAGCATGGATGAGGCCCTGGGTTCAATTCCTCAGTACCACACAAATAGAAAATGCTGGAAGTGACACTGTGGCTTAAGTGGTAAAGTGCTAGCCTTGAGCAAAAGAAGCTCAGGGACAGTGCCCAGGCCCAAGACCCAGGACTGGGGAAAAAAAAAAAAAAAGACATCTTGGCTTTCTGAGATCCTGTCGGCCGGGAGGCCATCCCGCACGTCGGGGGTGGCACGGGGCCGGCCGGAGGCGGGAAGCCAGGCCTAAGCCTGCCTTCCGGGGCCTCCACAGACGGGCCCTGCCCAGGTGAGGCTGACCCTCGGCATGCACACCTGGAGGGTCGGAGCGGGCGCCCCACCTGCCCTGTGGCCCGTGGCCCGGAGGTGAGAAGCAGGTGTAGCGGCAGGTGTAGGTCCCGGGCCCAGCAAGGTCAATACAGGCGCCGGGCCTCAGGGTCAGCCCCGGGGCTTCCCCAGCCCGGTTCCGGGCGCCCCAGACCCAGCGCGCAGAGGCGGAAGTGAAGTTCACGGGAGAGCGGCGCCAAGGCAGGGGTGTTCCCGGGACACGCCCCCTCACCGCGAGGCCTGGCCAATGACGCGACCACGGGGCGGGGCCCGGCCGAGCGTCCTCCAATCAGCCGCGTCGACGGCCAACTCCGGGTCGTAGGCGGAGCTCTCGCCCAATGGGCGGCAGCCGAGGGGGGCGTGGCGCGGCGCGGCGTCGAGAGAGGCCGGGTGCCTCGGGTCCGGCCGCCCGCGCAGTTCCGTCGGCGGCGGAGTCCGCAGCATGGCCAGCCTGGGGCGGCCGGGCCCCGCGCCGCGCGCCGCCATGCCCGCCTGGAAGCGCGAGATCCTGGAGCGGAGGCGGGCCAAGCTGGCCGCCCTGGGCGCGGGCCCCGGGCCCGGCGCGGCGTCGGCGGGGTCGGCCGAGCGGCTGGTGCTGGCGGACAGCCTGGGCCCGCTGCGCGAGAACCCGTTCATGCGGCTGGAGTCGGAGCGGCGGCGCGGGGCGCGGCCGGCGCCGCCGCTGCTGGAGCTGTACCGCCGCGTGCCGGGCGTGCGCGCCATCCGCGCCGACGGCATCCTCATCATCGAGGCGGCGCCCGGCTTCGCGCCCGCCGCGCCGCCCGCCGCCGGCCTCCGCGCGGCCGAGGTGGTGGTGTACGAGGCGCCGCCGCCCGGGCGCGTCAGCCGCCTGCTGGAGAAGTTCGACCCGCCCGCCGCGCCGTGCCGCCGCGGGAGCCCGGAGCGCGCCCGCCCCGCGCCGCCGCCGCTCCCGCTGCCCGCGCCGCCGCCCGCCGGCCCGCGCGCGCCCCTCCGCCGGCCCGCGCGCGCGGCTCCGCCCGGGCCCCCCGGCGCTCCCGCGCCGCCCGCCGCCCCGCGACCCCCCAGCTCCGAGCCGGGGCGCCCCGGCGGCGGAGGGGACGCCGGGGACCGGCGCCGGGACTTCCTGCAGAAGACCGGCGCCAACTCCTTCACCGTCCACCCCCGGGGCCTGCCCCGCGGCCCGGACCGCCCGCCTCTGCGCGCGCCCGCGGGCCCCGAGCCCCACGCCGGCCCTGCCAACCCCGCGCCCGGCGAGTGGAAGCCAAAGGCAGTGTCGGGGGAGCCCGGCCTCCCTCCGCCCCCCAGCCCCGGGACCCCGAGTGCCACTCCAGTCGCGTCCCCCGCCGTCCCGGCGCCCAGCCCCGTCAGTGCCAGTCCCAGCCAGCGCCGGGGGGTCTCCGCCGCCACCAGCGCCAACGACGCCTTCGAGATCAGGCCGGCCCCCAAGCCGGACTTGGAGACCATCCCTCCAGGGGACCTCCAGGCCCGGGCCCTGGCCAGCCTCCGCGCGAACTCCCGGAACTCCTTCCTGTTCATCCCCAAGCGCAAGGCCTCCGGGCACCCTCCCTCCGGGGGCAGGCAGTCCGCCGAGCTGCCAAAGGGAGAGGTGGGCCGGGCCTCTCAGCGCCAGAAGCTCGGAGGCCAGCTGGCGTCCGGAGGGGATGGGGCGCCAGACCCTGAGAGGGGCCTCTCGGTGGTCCTGGGGCCATGGCCGGCTCCCACCCTCACAGATCGGGCTGCCGAAAGTCAGAGGCCATCCTCCCCTCCCCTCTTCCTACCGGCCACCGCTGAAACGCAGCCCTCTGAGGGCTTGGCCAAGGACAGCCGGGAACCTGGGCGGCCAGGACTGCCGGTCACATTCATTGATGAGGTGGACTCCGAAGAGGAAGCATCCCCTCAAGAAGCCAAACTGCCCTGCTCAGGGGTTGGTGTAACTCTCCAGCACCACCTGCACCCCACCAGGCCTGGGCACCCATTGGAACTCCAGCACCGAGGCAACAACACGTTCACAGTGGTGCCCAAGAGGAAGCCAGGGGCCTGTCAAGAACCACGATTCAGCCAGGCCAATGGGGAGTCCCAGCCAAGGGAGGCTGAGGAGGAGGAGGCTGCTGGCCCCTTGGGATCCCATGCTGCTCTGGAGAGCACCCTAAAGAAGCGCTACCCTACAGTGCACGAGATTGAGGTGATCGGTGGCTACCTGGCCTTGCAGAAGTCCTGCCTCACCAAGGCTGGTTCCTCAAGGAAGAAGGTCAGCGGGGAGATGGCAGTGGGGGGCGGGGGGCAGCTACAGACACCATGTTTTCTTCTATGCCTGGGACACCTGGGCTAGTAGGGAGGCTTCCTGGAGAAGAACTAGACCAGGAGCTGTGGAGCCCTGATGGACCAGGGCACAGCTGGAGGGGAGGGCTAGCCAAGCAGGTAAAAGCCTCCTAAAGGAGGGGGCCTTAGAAAGCAGTGATATCCATGCCACTGGGTCCTTACCTGGAGACCAGCCAAAGGAGCACAACCTGTGAGCTCCTGAAGGCACAGGCCTGGAGCTTGTTGGCCCCTGGATTTGTGCAAGCATGGGCTGCTCAGGAGGACAGTCAGGCAGAGAGACCCAAGCACAGCCTTCTGGAGGCTTGCACCTGGCTGGCCAGGTGCACCTTACTGCCAGGTCGGCTCTAGTCAGTAGCTTGGAACCCTCTGGGTACAAGGAAAGAGTTTTTCAGATTCTTCCTGGTTATTCCAGGGTTTCAGTTTGTCCCCTGGGGCAAATTCCAAGGCCAGCCCTGCGTGACTCCCTGTCAGCTGGTACAAGGCAGGTGCGCCTTTCTCTGGTACTGAGGTGGCGGCTGGGGGTCCATTCCAGAGTCCAGCAGGTGTCGGCTCCCCTTGTTACTTTTCCCGTTTCCTTGGGCAACAGAGTGGTGATTGTGCCTTGGAGCTCCCTGTAACGAGCAGTGTCATCTTCTTTGTTTTGTGTGTGTCTCTTTCCTTCTCTCCCCCTCTTCCCCCCTCTTTCTCTGGACCTCCCTCTCTTCTTCCCTCCCGTCCTCTGCTCCCCCATACTAAGTTCTCATACTGCTAAGCAAATTAAACAAGCATAGTCCATGGAGATTCCTCTCCTTCCTGCCCCATCTCCTCTTCTAGGTTCAGGTCAGCAGCCCTCCTGCTGACCCCATCTGCCACTTCAGCCATTGCTGTGATTTCACTACGGCCGGGGGGGGGGGGGGGCACCTCCTGTTGGTCATGGCTCCCTCTGCCACCATGCTCTCTACTCCGAGTCCTACCCTCTTGTCCTCTCCTTCCCCTGCCTTTTGAGTTTGATCTTGACTGCTCTGAGGTGACCCCTTTCTATGCTTGTCCTAGAAGTGATGTCACGGTAATGTCTCTGGTGTAGGTGAGTTAGGATAGCGTCCTTCATGAAGCTGAGGTGAGGGAGGCTTGTGGGTCAGGAGCTGAGTTAAATTTCCTGGTTCTAGAGTCCTTATCCTCAGGTCTCTTTCACCATGAGCCTGGCTTCTTCCTAGCTGTTTCTACCCTCCAAGGCTGCTGCTGAGAGCCTGGCCGGTCCCTCTTGGGCTGGGTGGAGTCAGGGGGATCTGGAGCTGAAGGGGTCACGGGAGGCAGCTGGGAGACGGCAGCAAGCGCTGGCCATCAACCTTTTCCTGGCTGTGGCTCTATGCCAGCTTGAGCAAGTTGGGGGGCCAGATGGGCAGAGCCTGTTATGGCCAGGTGGTCTAGGCAGGACCCTCCTTGTAGCAGCACTGTGTACGTGTTGTGACGTCCTTTCTGCCCGTGTACCAGCTGCCTTGCCTGGCAAGAGCCACCGCCTGAGGGGTGGGACAGAGTGAGAGGCTGCTTGGGCTTTTCAGAACTGCAGGACTGCACGCACTTCACCCTTCTCCTGACATCCCTCCTTCCTGCAGCCCTGGAACCGGGCACTCCATCAGGGAGAAGGGACCCAAGGTGCTCCAAGTGGTTTTTCCTGTAGCCCTCACCTTGGTACCAAAGCTGTGCTTGAACCCGTGTTGGTCTTCCTCCTGAGGGGTAGGGGAGTGGAATACAGAGCCAGGGGACCTAGAGGTAGACTGCTTGCTTGATCCCCAGCCTGGTGACCCCTGGCCGTGGTGAGAGAGTTGGTGGCTTTCCCGAGGTGCAGGTGAGGAGCATCTCTTCTGCGGGCGTCTGGCAGCGGGTGGGGTGGGACAGTCTGATCTGACAGCATCTCAGATGGTGTCATGCCCTCATCCAAACTTAGGGCCCACATTAACTGTCTGGACGGTGAGGGTGTCCTCAGCGCTGGCCAGGGCCCCAGAAACATGCCCATTTAGGTTATCTGTCCCTCCTGCTGCATGTCCCAGCCCTGCCCCACCCCACCCCAGTTTCCTGGCAGATGTGGTGTCCTTTAACCCCTTCTCACACTGGCCTCCTCTCCTCCCTCAGGACTCAGCACTGGCAGCCTCCCTTCTTTATGGAGAAGCACCTGTCCTGGCTCCTACCTGTCTGTCTGCTCCGTTCTCTCTCTACTTCCTGGTCTGTGCCCCACCCAAGCACGTCAGTGTCCTCCAGTTCAGTCATAATGCCCAGGCCTCCGCTCTCCCCTCCAGTGTCACCTCCACCCTGACTTGTGTGCTTGGCTGTGGCTGTGTGATGCCCGTCTGCTCTTGCAGTGACCTCCCTCCCACCCGTCTGGACCCTCACAGGTGGTTGACACTCTCCCTGCCTCCCTTCCCCATAGGAGAGTCTCCTCTCCTTTTCTTTTTCCTCTCCCCCTCCTTCCCCCAGCTCTTCAGGGAGGGTGTCCCTTGTGTATTGTTCTTTTCTGGAGCCTGCGCCAGGCAGCTTCTCTTCTGGCACAGGGGCTGCCTTGGGTCTCCTGATGGCTGTGGACTTCCAGCTGTGCAACCCTGGTCTAGTGTGCTCCTACTGGGTCCCTGGGGGATGGGCAGCAGCCAGTGTGGATAGGAGAGTGGGGGCAGGGCCAGGCTGGACATACTCCTCTAGCCAGGCAGGTTGAGCCCAGTTTCTCAGCCCTGAATCTAGGGTGGATACCCACCAGTAACCCAAGCTGGGTGTGCATGGGCAGGGCTAGTTAGGGAGAACAAAAGGGCCCTGTGGGACCGGAGGCTTCGCCCTCACCTGCTGTGTGGGGTGGGTTGGGCCAGGTCCCTCAGCCACTGGCAACGGACATTTCCATGCTAGACCTGGGCCACTCTCCCCATCTATTCTGTCGGCCCAGTCTGCAGAGTGTGCCCCAGCTCTGGCCGCCTGAGTCACGAGGTGTCCTGTGACCTGCCGGCCTGTACTCTTAAGTGGGAGGGAGACCTGTGAGATTCGCACGGCACTGACCCAGCCAGGAGACAAAGCAGGCTGGAGGCCTGGACCCTGGCTGGGGCAGGAGGCCTGTGAGCACCCCCACGCTCCCAGCCTGGCCAGGCTGTGCCAGCCTCAGTGCCCACGTGTGCCCAGCCTCCCTGCTTGGAGTTGGTCATGCGGACTAATGAGGGCATGCTAATCCGGCCAGGCCCTGGCAGCTGGTCTTGGTGCGTTCCCAGCTATGGGGGATGGGCCTGGAGGGCATCATGGACCCCGGGGCCACCCGGGAATCCTGTTCACTTTGGGGTGGAACCCAGCTTGACAGTCCTATGTGCCTTGGGCTGTGCCTGGGGTATCTGTCTGGGAGGGCCAAGGACACCATGCCCAAGCTGGCTGGCAGTGGGTGGGGAGCCTGTGGCTTCAGGTGGCTGCCCCTTACTGTGTCTCACAGGACCACAGTTGGAGCGTTGGCAGGGCCTGCAGTGAGGGCAGGCTACAGGAGGCACGCTTGCATATGACAGGAGCGGATATTTTGCAACTTTATTTGTCTGACCTGCCTGCTCATCTCCCAGGCCACTCATCTGTGAAGACGTCTAGGGTGTTTGGGGTAGTGAGGGGAAGGGAGAGTGGCCAAGTAGCTGTAGCTCTGTGTGTGAGCACTGAGGCAGGGAAGCTAGCTCAGGCTCAGCGTCCCTTTCCCCACATTCTGGCCCTTGATGGAGAGAGCAAGAGACAGGAGAGTGTGTGTTCATTCCTGGGTGCTGGCTCACTGTAGAGGCTTTTGCTCCTGCTGGGCCCTTGTGGGTATCCTGCGACCATACCATGCTCTCCATGCTGCCTCAGGGCAAGCCCAGCCTTCCTGCCCGGTCCCCACCTGTCCTAAAGGCCGAGGCTGCCCTGGAACTGTCTGGGGCTGCTCCTGGTACTCTGGGCTGTCTGGGGCTGCTCCTGCCTCTGGCTCCTTCCAGGGGAGAAGGGGGAACTTGAGCTGGCTTGCTGGTGTCCTGTGCCCAAGAGTTTAATATTTCGACAGCAGCCCCAGCAGGACTGCTTCCATCTGCTGTAGGCTAGTGGCTGCTCATATTCATTACTGACCTGCCAGGCCCAGAATGGGCTGGGTAGAGCAGGCCTGGGAGAGCCACTCAGTTGTGGGAGTGAGTCTTCGCCTGGCAAGGCCTGGCCACAGGATTCCTTGCCCCAGCACTAGTGGCTGACTGGGAGATCCCGAGAATGCTTACAGCCCTCTGCTCCTGCCTGCCTTGCTACCCTTTGGAGCCAGCAGCCCAGGATACTAGAACAGGGGAGAATTTGTTTGAACATAAAATTCTAGAGCTTCACCGGGTGCCAGTGGCTCATGCCTGTCATCCTAGCTACTCAAGAGGCTGAGATCTGAGGATCGTGGTTCAAAGCCAGCCTGGGCAGGAAAGTCTGAGAGACTCCAATAAACCACCAGAAGACTGGAAGGGTGCTGTAGCTCAAGTGGTAGAACACTAGCCTTGAACAAAAGAGGCCAGGGACAGTGCCCAGGCCCTGAGTTCAAGCCCCATGACTGACCCCTCCAAAAGACAAAACGAAACAAAACAAAAAAAAACTAGTAAAGCTTGTGGGGCAGGCAGCAGGCTAGGCATTGGGATCAGTGTTCTTCAGGCTTTGTGGAACTTCTCATCCAGTCTGTTAAATGAGCTATGGCTCCTGGTGCTGCCTTTCTACTGCCTGGTCTTTTGTTTGTTTTGTTTTTTTGAGTCCAGTTGTGGGGCCTGAACTCTGGGCCTGGGCGCTGTCCCTCAGCTCTTTAGCTCAAGGCTAGCGCTCTACCACTTGAGCCACAGCGCTGCTTCGAGCTTTTTTCTTTTTGCTTATGTGGTGCTGAGGAATCGAACCCAGGGCCTCATGCATGCAAGGCAAGCACTCTACCACTTGAGACACAGCACTACTTCCAGCTTTTTGTTTTTTGCTTATGTGGTGCTAAGGAATTGAACCCAGGGCCTCAGGCATGCAAGGCAAGCACTCTACCACTGAGCCACCTTCCCAGGCAGGAAGTGTGGTGCCAGGAAGCCAAGGAACATGGCTTTAGGACCTGCCACTGATGAGGGTGGGGGCTGGGTAGGTTGTGCAGCTCCAGGTTGGAGGACTTCTTCCTCTGCTCTGAGTCTCTGTGGTGACAGTGCTGTTCAGCTCGTGCCTAGCTGTGTGGTGGGGCCCTGATGACAACTCTTGCTCTCAGATGAAAATCTCCTTCAATGACAAGAGCCTGCAGACAACATTTGAGTACCCTTCCGAGAGCTCCCTGGTACAGGAGGAAGAGGCAGAGGAGGAGGAGGAAGTGGAGGAGGAAGAAGATGAAGAGGAACCTGGCTCAGAGGAGAAGCCCTTTTCTCTCTTCCTACCCCGAGCCACATTTGTGAGCAGTGTGGGGCCTGAGAACCCCCGGCTCCCAGATGGCAGCTCAGGTGAATGCCCATCTGCTCATATGGACAGCCTGGGGGGGGGGGTGGAGATGGGGCTGCATGTTCATGTGCCCATGCCTGGTCTGCTTGGCCCACAGGCCTGTCCTGCTACACTCCAAAGCACTCCATGGCCTTCAGCAGATGGCAGGAGCAGACAGTGGTGCAGGTTCCCAGTGAGATGGAGCCTCCATTGAAAGAAGTCATGGTGAGCCAGGGCGGGTGGGGGGACCCCCTCAGCTCTGAGGGCTGTGGGGAAGGGGAAGTAGTACCTGGGCAGGCCCCACTGCTTACATCTCTCCTTTTTCTCAGCTCACACCTGCCAGTCAGAACGACCTCTCGGACTTCCGCAGTGAGCCAGCCCTCTATTTCTGACGCCAGGACTGCCAAGTCATAGCTGAGGGGGTGGCTGGGAGCCGAGGAGTCCTGTGCCCCTCCCCCCCACCCCCGTTCTTACCTTCATCCTGGCTGTGCTCCACATTTCTTCCTACCTGTGCTTACTCCTGCCGTTGGCTAGGTCTGTCTGACCCATTCAGGATCTCCAAGGAAAAGTGGGGAGGGCTGAAGTCCATCCAGTGGCCTGTCTGTGACTAGGTGAGGGCCTGAGCAGACTTGCCCCAGACCAAGGTTGCCTCCCAGCCTCCTGTCGTCACAGGTGTTTCTGGGGCAAGGTGCTGTCTGCAGGACTCTAATCCCACCCCGATGGATTTAGTCTACCCTTTGTGATAAATGGCAGGTTTGTTTCTTGCCTCTGATGTTGGATCCAATAAACCGCATTGGATAAGGCTGCTGCTCCCTCCCATGTGTGGCCCACAGTGGGGACACTGGGGGTCAGCCTGGGGGCCCTCTACCAGGGGATGTGAGGTGGCCCATTTGATGTCCTTGCACCTTGAGGTCCTGCTGGTCCAGGCTCTCTCCCACCTTCCCAAGCTGTCACTGGGAGATGGGAGTTAGGCCTGCTGAATGCAGTGCATCAGGTCTGGAACTTGGTGACCTACAGAGGTAAATCCCAGATGGATGAGTGTTGCTGTTATCAAGTCTTTTTTTTTTTTTTTGTCATGGGGCTTGAACTCTGGGCCTGGGCGCTGTCCCTCAGCTCTTCAGCTCAAGGCGAGCGCTCTACCACTTGAGCTACAGCGCCACTTCCGGTTTTCTGGTGGTTTATTGGAGATAGGAGTCTCACGGTCTCTCCTGCCCTGGCTGGCTTTGAACCGCGATCCTCAGATCTCAGCCTCCTGAGTAGCTAGGATTACAGGTGTGAGCCACCAGCGCCCGGCATGTTGTGATTTTTTTTTTTTGTCGGTCGTGGGTGTTATCAAGTCTTAAGTGGCATTACTGAGAGACCAGGAGCCTGAAGGGGACCAAGAGCAGGGCAGAATGTACTGCATGGGCAAGGCTGGACAGAGCGTTGTAATTCTTTCTCACTAGGCACAGAAGAGCCTGCTGACCTGTAAGTCTTAGTGAAAGGATCAGGCAGTAGACAGGGCTATCCACTTGGGAATAATGATGGGTGTATGGGCCTGGGCAGCTACAGTACAGAGCTAGGGTCATCTACAGCACTAGGCAAAACCTTCCCAGGCACTGAACACAGGTATCCTCTCCTGGAGAATTCAAGAAGAAACTGCATGACCAGGATCAGGAAAGAGCGGTTTTGGTGTGGTTCTCTAGGACAGGATGGGCTGTTCTCTGGTTCTGCCAAGCAGCACCTGGGCAATAACTTGTGTGTGGTTGAGGGCATGCAACTCTGCATCAACAGTGGTTCATCAGACTGGATAACGTGGTACAGAGGAACGGGTATGGGATACAAAGCCCCTTCCAGCCATTGAGAGGGCCCAAGTCCAGGGCAGACATCTCTCCAACCACCCCAAGTATTGGCACCAGGGTGTGTCACAGCCCCCTTCAAGCAGGTGGGCTGTATGCTGGAATTGGGGGAGACCAACAGCCTTGCTAGGACAGATGAGGTTGGGGATAGCCTGTGTTAAGTGGAAATCCTCGCTCTGTTCTGACAGGGACTAAGCACAAGGAAAATCATTGCAGGTCCTGTCTCCCTTCTCAAGGAGCCATGGCAGCTGGACAGAGCCTAGCTACGGCTCTGCTGGTGTCTGGTGCCCACACTCCAGAGAAGTCAAGAGATTACCACAGCTGGGAAGGTGGCTCAGTGGTAGAGTGCTTGCCTTGCGTGCATGAGGCCCTGGGTTTGAGTCCTCAGCACACATAAGCAAAAAGAAAAAAGCCGGAAGTGGCGCTGTGGCTCAAGTGGTAGAGTGCTAGCCTTGAGCTGAAGAGCTGAGGGACAGCGCCCAGGCCCAGAGTTCAGCCCCCCCCCCCCCAAAAAAATTACCACAGAAATGTGCAAAAAAAAAACGTTTATTGACAACTGACCACGGGGTGGGCCCTGAGGTTTGGGTCCTGGGTTAAGGAGGCACTCTCCCCACCTGCCTGGCCTCAGTGCCTATTGGCTAAGAGGGGACAAAGAGGGACTCCCACACCAACAAGTCTGGAGCCAGGATGTGCCTGACCCAGGGCCTCTTCCAAGGTCCCTGGGGGAGATGACATGGAAAACTCGGTCCTCGTGGCTCTTGTGAGTCCAGAGGTCGTAAACACCCCCCCCCCACCTTGTCACTCAAGGCAGCTGCCCCTCCCAGCACCTAAGACGGGAGAAGGTATCTGCCACAAAGCACAATGTTTTAAGACAGATGGGGGGGGGCATATCTGGGACACAGCAGAGACTGGCCCAGTCTGCTCGGGCTTGTCAGCTGTCCTTGCCTCCACTGCTCTTCTGATCAGAGGCTGTGGCCTTGGTCAGATTCCCAGCTTCTCTCTTGAGGACACTGAGCAGCGTCTGAGAACTCTCCAAGATCTGGGGTCACAAGCGAGAGGGGTGCCACTGTCCCTCTCACTGGAAGCAACACCTCCACCTACCCGGAGCCCTGGGTTTCTCATACAGCCCGCCCCCGCCCCGCACCCCCTCCCCGCATCTGTCCCACACCGGGCTGGGCGGGCCTGGCAGAATAAACCGCAACAGAGGAGCGCCGGGGACACACCGGGCCCCGCGGAGACCGGCCCGCCGGTAGCGTGGCGGTTTTGGCTCGGGCCTGAGCGCTTCCCAGTCCTGGGAGCCTCACCTTGAGGTAGGCGGCCTCGGTCTCCTCGATGGTCCGATCAAACTCGTTGCGGGAGGCGATCTTGCGCGCCAGGTTCTCGTTGACGCGGGCCAGCTTCTCCGTCAGCTGCCTCACCTCGTTCTGCAACCGCTGCTTCTCGTCCTCCTCCTGCTGGATCTGCCGGCACAGCTCATCTCGCTTCTGACACAGCTCCTCGATGCCTAAGGCGGGCGGGGAGACGGGGCTGTGGGCCGGGGCCACGCAGCGGGCCCGGCCCGGCCCGGTGCCCGGGCTCCGCTAGGGGGAGGCCCCGGCGCCGGGCTCGCGCAGGCGCAGGCGCGGGCGCATCCGCGCGGCCGCGGGGCCGGGCCGGGCCCCGCCCCGCGCCCCGGGGCCCGGGGCACCAGCCCCTCCGCTCCCCGCGGCTCACACTTGACCAGCTCGTTGTTGTAATTCTGCAGCGCTGCGCCCTGCTGGGTCATGGCCGACGCCGCGCTCTCCGCTCCAACCGCCGCCCGCGCAGCCACACTGACGCATGCGCAGGGCCTCGAGCCGCGCGCACCCCCCCCCGCGCGTGGCGTCATCGCCCCGCGCCTCCGCGAGCGTCAGGACGGCGCGCCACGCTCGGCTCTGCGTCACTGCCACGCGCTGCGCTGGGCGGGTCCGGGAGCTGTGGGTGCCGATGGAGGCCGACGTGGCGGCTGCGGCCGCGGCCGCGCCTGCGGCCGGCCACTCCGCGCCTGGCCAGGAGCTCTTGGTAGCCTGGAATACCGTGAGCACCGGACTGGTGCCGCCGGCTGTCCTGGGGCTGGTGAGGCCTGAGAAAAGAAGGGCGGGGCGGGACGGGGGGCCCGCCCGCGTCCCGGGCCTCCTCCCCCAGCCCTCCTTCCTTAGCGTCGGCCACGGAGTGGGCGGCGGGTTTTCCTCAGCTTCCCCTAGACTCGGCCCCTCCCCTCGAGCCCGCACCCCTGCGCCTGCATCCTCAGATTTCCCCACGCTCCAGGCCTCCTCCCGGACCAGCGGCGCGGTCCCGCCGAAGGAGGAGGAGCTCCGAGCGGCGGTGGAAGTCCTGAGGGGCCACGGTCTGCACTCTATCCTGGAGGAGTGGTTCGTGGAAGTGCTGCAGAACGACCTGCAGGCCAACATCTCCCCCGAGTTCTGGAATGCCGTCTCCCAGCGCGAGAACACTGTCGACGAGCCCCAGTGCCTTCTGCTGCTCCTGGACGCGTTTGGTCTGCTAGAGAGCCGCCTGGATACCTACCTGCGCAGCCTAGAGCTCCTGGAGAAATGGACTCGCCTGGGTTTGCTGATGGGCACTGGAGCTCAAGGGCTTCGGGAAAAGGTCCATACCATGTTGCGGGGAGTCTTATTCTTTTCCACACCCAGGACCTTCCAGGAGATGGTCCAGCGCCTCTACGGGCGCTTCCTGCGAGTCTATATGCAGAGTAAGAGAAAAGGTGAAGGAGGCACAGACCCCGAACTGGAGGGGGAATTGGACAGCCGCTATGCCCGCCGCCGCTACTACCGGCTTCTGCAAAGCCCTCTGTGTGCGGGATGCGGCAGTGACAAGCAGCAGTGCTGGTGCCGCCAGGCACTGGAGCAGTTCCACCAGCTCAGCCAGGTCCTGTGAGTACTGCCAAGCGGTGACTATGCCCCGGTTCCTCCGCATGCCTTTCCTGCTCTCCTGGGTCTCGCTGGCCTCTGGGAGAACTGGTGAACTGGTCGAAAATGTTTCTTCTACCTATCCTGAGAGCCAGGGACATGACAGGGAGCGCCATGGGAATCTCTGTGTAGCAGGTTCACACCCTGACCTAGGTGTAGGTGTGTATCCAGGGTTTTTCAGCTTTGCCCTTGCTAAGAAACTACCGACCCATGTCTGAATTAGATTTCTTTTGATTCCAAACTTCCTGGTCTCTACAAAATTCTGATTTTTTTTTTAATCCCAAAAGTCATACTTAAAAAAAAATTGGGGGGCGGGGGCTGGGAATGTAAGGTGGCTCAGTGGTAGAGTGCTCACCTGGCATGCCTGAGGCCCTGGGTTCGATTCCTCAGTGCTACATACACAGAAAAAGGCAGAAGTTGCACTGTGGCTCAAGTGGTAGAGCACTAGCCTTGAGTAAAAGCAGTTTAGGGACAGTGCCCAGGCCCCGAGTTCAGTGTCCAGGACTGGCAAAAGAAAAAAATAATTTTTTCTGTTATTAGAAAGGTGAGGTACGGAGGGGTTATTGTTACATAGGTCAGTTAGAAGTACATTTCTTTCTTTCTTTTTTTTTTTTTTTTTTTTTTCTTATCAGTTGTAGGGCTTGAACTCTGGGCCTGGATGCTGTCCCTGAGCTCTTCAGCTCAAGGTGAGCACTCTATCACTTGAGCCACAGTGTCACTTCTGGTTTTCTGGTGGTTAGTTGGAGATAAAAGTCTGATAGACTTAGCTGGGCACCGGTGGTTCACGCCTGTCATCCTAGCTACTCAGGAAGCCAAGATCTGAGGATTGCGGTTCAAAGCCAGCCTAGGCAGGAAAGTCTGTGAGACTCTTATCTCCAATAAACCACTAGAAAACTGGAAATGGTGCTGTGGCTCAAGTGGTAGAGTGCTCGCCTTGAGCTGAAGAGCGCAGGGACAGCACCTAAGTCCAGAGTTCAAGCCCCACGACCAACCAAAAAAAAGAGAAAAAAAAAAAGTCTAATAGACTTCCCTGCCCAAACTGGCTTTGAACTGTGATTCTCAGATCTCAACCTCCTGAGTAGCTAGGATTACAGGCGTGAGCCACTGGGGTCTGGCTTCCACTTTGAGCTTTTTGATGATTAATTGCAGATAAGAGTCTCACAGACTTCCTTTCCAGTGCTCTTGTCCTTCTAGCAGCTTTGCCCCCAAACCCTTGGTAGATTTGCCCCACCCTAGGAGGGCTGGGGGAGGTTATTCATTAAGCTCTTGGTATGTCTCATGTGTGTACTGTATGTGCTTTGTAAGCAGGACCATGATGGGTGAAGGACAGGAGGCGGGGGAGGGGGGTAGGCATGTACTGGTTGAGGGACAGGTGTGTGCCCTGAAAGCAGTACCACACTGGCTGAGGGACAGGTGTGTGCTGCAGGTGCTTCATGGACAGGACTCTCCTCTAGGCACAGGCTCAGTTTGCTGGAGCGGGTCAGTGCTGAGGCAGTTACCACCACCCTGCATCAGGTGACCAGAGAGAGAATGGAGGATCGCTGCCGAGGCGAGTATGAGCGCTCCTTTCTGCGGGAGTTCCACAAGGTGAGCAACCCCCCCACACACACACACACACATACACTGTCCACAAGATGAGCACCCTCCCTTGGCATACTGATTCCTCACACTAGAAGCGACTAGAGTGGGAAGGCCTGGATGGACCAGAATTGGGTGGTAGGGCTGCCTTGGTGCTAGGCAAGTCCTAAGCCCAGTGGCGGAGGAAGGATCTGGGATATGCTCTGCAGGTCTGTGCAGAATCCTACAGCTGGAGGCATTGCAAAAACCAGAGTCCCAAGAGTTCCTCGTCAGGCTGTAGTAGTAGCAGACTGACCCTTCCTCTTTGCTTTCCTGAGTGTGGGTTCACTTCTTTCGACTGGCCTCCATCTCCACATGCAGCTGGGGCCTGTTGGGCTATGGTCTCTTTCTGGTCTAGGCACCCAGCATTGAGGAGCTGTGGTCATTTACGCTACTCTTATTTTTCCCCCTGACCTCCCATCACTGCTTCCAGGTATCTGTCTGCAGTGAATGCAGGTTAGCTGTGGTAGTGGGTGTTCAAAGTGCTGTTCTCCAGCAGTGATGCAGACTGGGCATCAGCCATGGAGGCTCACTGTGCTCCGGGTAGTGGGCTGGGGAAGGTGAATTGTCCCAAGCTATTTCATTAGTCGGGAGTCTGTGGATCTGTGTGCACCCATGAGTCTGTGTGGCCTTGTGGCCTCCTGTTCTCAGCTGTGCTTTTACTGTTGTTGCTTGGTTTACACAGAGGTAGGGCTTTGGTGGTCACAGATGTGGCTCCAAGAGCAGGTTTGCCATGTGTGCCAGCATCGTCCACTAGTGTCACCTACCAGAGGCGAGCATGCCGGCACGCCGCGGAGGATGAGCGCCTCTGCGGGTCAGCAGTGCCCGTTTGGGACTCAGGTTCTTGGAAGACTTGGATGTGCTTCTGGGCCCCAGATGTAGGAGCTTTTGGGGGCTTACTGGGGTGCTGCTGAAGGGTAGGTGTCTATGAGGTGGTCTGGGTGTCCCCGCGCCTCACACACCAGTGTCCCCACAGTGGATTGAGAGGGTGGTCGGCTGGCTTGGCAAGGTGTTCCTGCAGGACGGCCCCGCCCGGCCGGCCTCACCCGAAGCTGGAGGCACTCTGCGCCGCTGGCGCTGTCACGTGCAGAGGTTCTTCTACCGGATCTATGCCAGCCTGCGCATCGAGGAGCTCTTCAGCATCATCCGAGGTTGGTCCTTCTTGGTTTCCCTGCACTGCACACCTGCCAGTGGGCAGTGCCCTTCATGTTTACAGGGTTTACTTACCTTTACCTTCTGCAAGATGAATTGACCAGAGCTGGACCTAATTCACTATCACTCTGGGTCTGGTTCAGGACTGAGCAGCCTGCCAGGCCAATGCTTTTAGGCATCCATCCTTCTGTCCCTCAGCCTTGGTTTCTGCTTACTAGCTAGCTCCCCTACCCTTTGGTGTTATAGTCAAATGCACACGTGTGTGAAAAGGCATCGAGAGCCATGTGCTGGTAGCTCACGCCTGTCATCCTTGCTACTCAGGAGGCTGAGACCTGAGGATCGTGGTTCCAAGCCAGCCCAGGCAGAAAAGTGCATGACACTCTTTATCTCTAGGTAACTGCCATGAAGCCAAAAGTGGAGCTGTGGCTCAAGTGGTAGAGTGCTAGCTTTTAGTGAAAAAGCTAAGGGACAGCTCCCAGGCCCTGAGTTCAAGCACACATTGGCACATGCACACACACAGATACCCAGTGCTTGCGGGCAGCTCCCATGCTGGGGCCGTGTATCCTTTCCTGCACTGTTGTCGTTCTTCACCGGTGGGTGCACCTGTGTACACCTATCTCTGAGGGATGGCTCTCTTCCTGCAGACTTCCCAGACTCCCGACCAGCCATCGAGGACCTCAAATACTGCCTGGAGAGGACTGACCAGAGACAGCAGCTGCTTGTGTCCCTCAAGGCTGCCCTGGAGACTCGGCTCCTCCACCCTGGTACGTGTGTGGCCACTATAGACTGGCTGCTTGGCCCTCAGGGCTCTGGATTTGGAGGCAACTGAGAAGGGGGTTAGGAAGCAGTTGTTGGTTTTGTGGGAGCTAGAAAAGCCAGCCCACCTTCATGCCTCTTTGGAGGAAATCAAGCTTGCCTGGCTCAGTCTGGGCTGTGCTGGCCTCAAAACAGAGCCTGGCTGGAGGAGGGCCCGTTTCTCGGGAAGTTACAGAGCCTGCCTGTGAGTGGGTGAGGTGAGGGAGGCTGGGGCTGACTCCCTGCCGCCACCCCGCCACCTGGGCTCCAGTCTCAGCAGTGACCAGTGTGACTGCCTGTCTACTCATGTGGGACCAGGGAAGCTGCTGTCCAGGGCACTGTGAGACCTCTGGCTTCTCCTAGGCGTCAACACGTGTGATATCATCACGCTCTACATCTCTGCCATCAAGGCTTTGCGAGTGTTGGACCCCTCCATGGTCATCCTGGAGGTGGCCTGTGAGCCCATCCGCCGCTACCTGAGGTGAGGCGTGCATCCAGGCGCCCTGGCTCAGCCTCGTGATGCTGTCACCAGAGGGGCTCTGGGTTCTCTCCTGAGCACAAGGGGACAGGAGGCTGCTGATGGGTCCAGGCTGAGGGCTTTTCCTCTTCCCGCTGCTAGTCACCTATCCTTGCATGCTCTGTGTAGAGACAGCCCTTGCTTTCTGATGATGAGGCGCCAGGACCCCCGTGGGTTGTGTGTTTGGAAAGCTCTTGGTTGGCAGAGGCCCAGTGTCCCTGGACCTGAGTGGTGGGAGCTGGTGGGTATATCTCATGGCTGCCCTGGACTCAGGCTTTTTGCTTCCCAGCCAATACTGGTCTGGTCACGGAGCCTCTTTTTATCTCTGCCGTGCTGTTCCCACAGTGGTGCTGGGCGTCTTACTTTCTGAGATGAGCCTGTTTTCAGTATGTACCAGTCAGCAGTTGGGGTGGGCAGTGTGAGCCGGGTCCCATGGTAGCCTCGCATACATGGAAGACAGCAGCACTCATCCCGCAGGACACGGGAGGACACGGTGCGGCAGATCGTAGCTGGGCTGACGGGAGACTCGGATGGAACTGGGGACTTGGCTGTTGAGTTGTCCAAGACTGACCCGGCCAGCCTGGAAACGGGCCAGGACAGTGAAGATGACTCTGGAGAGCCTGAGGATTGGGTTCCCGATCCGGTGGATGCAGACCCAGGTCAGCTTCCCGGCTGGGCCCCCAGCCTCTTCCGGGCCTATTTGAGTTGTGATGGCTTCAGGTCCATGTCTTGCTGTTAGCACCTGGTCCCGTCGGGGAGCCAGTGCTTGTTTTAACAGGTCAGGGCTTTCCTTAGTACCAGTCATTTTTCTGTGTGTTCCTATGGTACCTGGTCATTCCAGCGGTAGGAGAGTTTCTTGTTGGCCCTGTTCCTTACAAGCTATAACTGGTGGGAAAGCTGGTTCGTGTGAGGCCTGTGTAGCCCACCTCCAGCTATGATTTTTGTCCCAGACCTAGAAGGCTCATCAGGGTGACAGCTTCTGGCTGGTCCCCCTCCTATGCCTGGCCCCAATACATAGAGTCTGTGAGCACTTCTCCAGTCTCCAGGACCAAACCATGGGCCTTCAAGCCTGGATTTCAAGTGTGGGTTGAAAGGGGTCCTCATGAGTTAGGAGGGGTCCTAGATCAAAACAGCAGCTTCAGGATCCTCATGAGTCACGAGGGCTGCAGATTGGAACAGCTGTTTGTGAGCCTCATAGCCAGTGCTGGATGACAGTGACTAGCCAGGTGGGATTTTGGGGTATATTGTCCTTGCCAAGGTGCCAGTGGTAAGCCCCTCATACTGTGCCAGGGAAGTCGAGCTCCAAGCGGCGCTCCTCGGATATCATCAGTCTGCTGGTAAGCATCTATGGCAGCAAGGACCTCTTCATCAACGAGTACCGCTCCCTGTTAGCCGACCGCCTCCTCCACCAGCTCAGCTTCAGCCCGGAACGGTGAGGCCTGTGAGCTGCTGGCTGGTCTCCAGGGGGCGCCACGGCTTCCACCTGGGGCCTCTTGCAGCCCAGTCCTGAGGAATCTGGAGGGAGGTGCCTTCTCACCTTGGGTGTTTGCCTGCCCTCTGCCGGCCAGGATGGCTCTGCTGTGGCCCAGGTGGGGCTGTCTTCCCACAGGCCAGGGGCCTCTCAGCAGCGGGAGCTAGTGAGGAAGAGGCAGCTTTCTAAAAGCTCTTCCTTCTGGGGCTGGGAAGGTGGCTCAGTGGTAGAATGCTTGCCTTGCATGCATGAGGCCCTGGGTTTGATACCTCAGTTCGATTCCATAAGCAGAAAAAGCCAGAAAGTGGTAGAGTGCTAGCCTTGAGCTGAAGAGCTGTGGGACAGTGAGTTCAGGCGCCACAACTGGCAAAAAATAAAAAGCTCTTCCTTCCAGGGAGATCCGCAATGTGGAGCTGCTGAAGCTGCGCTTTGGTGAGGCCCCGATGCACTTCTGTGAGGTCATGTTAAAGGTGGGTGTCAGGACCCCACCCTCAAGGCCAGCACCTCTGCCCGACCCGGGCTAAGTGCCCTCCCCTCCTTAGGATATGGCAGACTCCCGCCGGATCAACGCCAACATCCGAGAGGAAGACGAGAAGCGGCCTATAGAAGAGCAGCCGCCGTTTGGGGTCTATGCTGTCATCTTATCCAGTGAGTTCTGGCCCCCCTTCAAGGATGAGAAGCTGGAAGTTCCTGAGGACATCAGGGCCGCGCTGGAAGTTTACTGCAAGAAGTACGAGAAGCTGAAGGTACAGCTACCAGTGCTTAGCAGCTCCCACGGCTGTTCAATCAGCCGCAGTCACCTCAGGGTCAGTCGCCTGCCACACCCACCATACATTGTCACCTCAGGGTCATTGTCACCTCAGGGTCATTGTCACCTCAGGGTCATTGTCACCTCAGGGTCAATCGCCTGCCACACCCACCATACATTGTCACCTCAGGGTCATTGTCACCTCAGGGTCAGTCACCTCAGGGTCATTGTCACCTCAGGGTCATTGTCACCTCAGGGTCATTGCCGCCTCAGGGTCAGTCGCCTCAGGGTCATTGCCACCTCAGGGTCATTGTCACCTCAGGGTCAGTCACCTCAGGGTCATTGCCACCTCAGGGTCATTGCCACCTCAGGGTCATTGTCACCTCAGGGTCATTGCCACCTCAGGGTCATTGTCACCTCAGGGTCAGTCGCCTCAGGGTCATTGCCACCTCAGGGTCATTGTCACCTCAGGGTCATTGTCACCTCAGGGTCATTGCCGCCTCAGGGTCATTGCCACCTCAGGGTCAGTCACCTCAGAGTCATTGTCACCTCAGGGTCATTGTCACCTCAGGGTCATTGCCACCTCAGGGTCAGTCACCTCAGGGTCAGTCGCCTCAGGGTCATTGTCACCTCAGGGTCATTGCCACCTCAGGGTCATTGTCACCTCAGGGTCATTGCCACCTCAGGGTCATTGTCACCTCAGGGTCATTGCCGCCTCAGGGTCATTGCCGCCTCAGGGTCATTGTCACCTCAGGGTCATTGCCACCTCAGGGTCAATCGCCTGCCACACCCACCATACATTGTCACCTCAGGGTCATTGTCACCTCAGGGTCAGTCGCCTCAGGGTCATTGTCACCTCAGGGTCATTGTCACCTCAGGGTCATTGTCACCTCAGGGTCATTGTCACCTCAGGGTCATTGTCACCTCAGGGTCATTGTCGCCTCAGGGTCATTGTCGCCTCAGGGTCATTGTCACCTCAGGGTCATTGTCGCCTCAGGGTCATTGCCGCCTCAGGGTCATTGCCACCTCAGGGTCATTGCCACCTCAGGGTCATTGCCGCCTCAGGGTCATTGTCACCTCAGGGTCATTGTCACCTCAGGGTCATTGCCACCTCAGGGTCATTGCCACCTCAGGGTCATTGTCACCTCAGGGTCAGTCGCCTCAGGGTCATTGTCACCTCAGGGTCATTGCCACCTCAGGGTCATTGTCGCCTCAGGGTCATTGTCACCTCAGGGTCATTGTCGCCTCAGGGTCATTGCCGCCTCAGGGTCATTGTCACCTCAGGGTCATTGCCGCCTCAGGGTCATTGTCGCCTCAGGGTCAGTCACCTCAGAGTCATTGTCACCTCAGGGTCATTGCCACCTCAGGGTCATTGTCACCTCAGGGTCATTGTCACCTCAGGGTCATTGTCGCCTCAGGGTCATTGTCGCCTCAGGGTCATTGTCACCTCAGGGTCATTGTCGCCTCAGGGTCATTGCCGCCTCAGGGTCATTGCCACCTCAGGGTCATTGCCACCTCAGGGTCATTGCCGCCTCAGGGTCATTGTCACCTCAGGGTCAATCGCCTGCCACACCCACCATACATTGTCACCTCAGGGTCATTGTCACCTCAGGGTCATTGTCACCTCAGGGTCATTGTCACCTCAGGGTCATTGTCACCTCAGGGTCAGTCGCCTCAGGGTCAGTCACCTCAGAGTCATTGTCACCTCAGGGTCAGTCACCTCAGGGTCATTGTCACCTCAGGGTCATTGCCACCTCAGGGTCAGTCACCTCAGAGTCATTGTCACCTCAGGGTCATTGTCACCTCAGGGTCATTGCCACCTCAGGGTCATTGCCACCTCAGGGTCATTGTCACCTCAGGGTCAGTCGCCTCAGGGTCATTGTCACCTCAGGGTCATTGCCACCTCAGGGTCATTGTCACCTCAGGGTCATTGCCGCCTCAGGGTCATTGCCACCTCAGGGTCAGTCACCTCAGGGTCAGTCGCCTCAGGGTCATTGTCACCTCAGGGTCATTGCCACCTCAGGGTCATTGTCGCCTCAGGGTCATTGTCACCTCAGGGTCATTGTCGCCTCAGGGTCATTGCCGCCTCAGGGTCATTGTCACCTCAGGGTCATTGCCGCCTCAGGGTCATTGTCGCCTCAGGGTCAGTCACCTCAGAGTCATTGTCACCTCAGGGTCATTGCCACCTCAGGGTCATTGTCACCTCAGGGTCATTGCCACCTCAGGGTCATTGCCGCCTCATTGTCGCCTCAGGGTCATTGTCACCTCAGGGTCATTGCCACCTCAGGGTCATTGCCACCTCAGGGTCATTGTCACCTCAGGGTCAGTCGCCTCAGGGTCATTGCCACCTCAGGGTCATTGTCACCTCAGGGTCATTGTCACCTCAGGGTCATTGCCACCTCAGGGTCATTGTCGCCTCAGGGTCATTGTCGCCTCAGGGTCATTGCCGCCTCAGGGTCATTGTCGCCTCAGGGTCATTGTCACCTCAGGGTCATTGTCACCTCAGGGTCATTGTCACCTCAGGGTCAGTCGCCTGTGTGCACTTTGAGGGGTGGGGTCTCCTCTTCACGCTCTGAAACCCGAGCGCCCTATCGCCAAGCCTTCCTGTGCTGCTGGGCTGCTGAACAGGGCTGGCATCCACTGAGGCCCAGCCCCCAGTAGGGCTGGGAGGGGCTGTCTCTCTGCTGTGGGCAACTCTCTCAAGCACACTGACCTCTGACTTTGACCCTCTCCTCCCTTGGTCTCTCCCTGAAAGGTCCCAGGGGACTTGAGAATGGACACTATGAACTGTGATGGGGATCCTGGAAGGTACAGGGCTTGGACAAAGGAAGCTGGGCACTGGTGACTCACACCTGTAATCATAGCTATTCAGTAGGCTGACATCTGGAGATCGCCGATCAAAGCCAGCCTGGGCAGGAAAGTCCATGGGCGTCATCTCCAAAAATTACCAAAAAGCTAACTGGTGAACTGTGGCTAAAGTAATAGTGTAAACCTTAAGGAAGCAGCTCAGGAACAACACTCAGGCCCTGAGTTCAAGTCGCAGGACCGGCACACACACACACGCACACACACACACACACACACAAATGAATGCCCAGAGAGATGAGATAGGCCATGTGGCCTGCCCCCAGCAGCATAACCGAGTCCCAGTCCTGGAGTCCTGGGAAGGAGGCTGAGCTCAAGTGTCTTTTTGGATTTGCAGTCAAGTCATGCTGGGGAGAGGAACTGGACGCCCATCCAGGGCTTCTGACATGAGATGGGGTCTGGGCTGTGGGGTGCAGTCCAGCTATGCTGGGGAGGTAGGAACTGGACGCCCATCCAGAGCTTCCCTCCCTCCCCTGATCGTTGGGCTTGATCTGGGCCTGGGTGCTGTTACCTCAGCTCTTCAGCTCAAGGCTAGCACTCTACCACTTGAGCCACAGCGCCACTTCCAGGTTTCTGGTGGTTTATTGGGAGATAAGAGTCTCATAGACTTTCCTGCCCCAGGCTGGCTTTGAACCGTGATCCTCAGATCTCAGCCTCATGAGTAGCTAGGATTATAGGCATGAGCCGCCGGCGCCCGGCTTCATCCAGAGCTTTTGACATGAGACTTGGGGTCCGGGCTGGAACATGCAGCCCACCAGTTCTGCAGCCTAGAGGGAGGAGAATAGGCAGAGAACAGGAGAGGGAAGGCATCCGGCCTGTGGATCTCAACAGCGGCTCAAACTGAACAGGGCAGTAGTGAGGTGGTCCGAAGCAGGGGGAGGCAAGCTCTGGGGGTTCCAGCAGCTTCTCGGGTGAGGAAGTGCTGGGTCTCCTCTACACAGAAGGCCTTGTTCTTCCAGCCTCACCCAGGGCACCTTGGCAAGTCAGGGACTGCTTGCACCTGACCTTGACAGCCTGGCCACCTCCTTTCCCCACCCTGGTTCCGTTCCTGGAAAAGCTCAGGTGTCCTGTGGTCACCTAGTGTCCTGCCGTCTGGTCCGTGTGGCCCTTGCTGATGCCAGCTGGAAGGCTGCCTACCATGCTTGGTGCCAGCCCGTGCCACAGCAGTGGGCCTTGGCCCAGTGTCTGAGCAGTGACTTACCCCTTCCCGGCTGAGCACAGCTAGGTGCCACATCCTCTCTGCCCTCTTCCCTGCCCCATCCTCTGTTCTCCGGATGCCCCAGAGGTGTGAAGAGCCCATTGCCTCCCCCCCGCTCCCATTCCAGCATCCCTGAAAGTCATGCCCAGTCCAGTGTTAACTCTTAAGTCTTAACATAAAGTTCCATATTTCAGCATCTAAATCAAGTGTAGACGAGACTTGGGGTCCACGTGGGGCAGGCTTTCTTGCTAGCTGTGATGCTGTGAAATCAGAAGTTTTCTGCTTCCAAGACACAATAGAGTGTCGAGCCTCACTGAGGCATTGAGATCCTCAAAGGAAGGTTCATAGTCCTAAGCAGGTCTAAAAATGAGTGTGAGGAATTAAGAGGATTGGAGGCCTGGCCTGGCAACAGTTCTCTGCACTTCCCCCTTGCCCCTCCCCCCGCCGTCTGCTCAGCACTGTGGCTCTGCTCTAAGCCTTGCCTTGTGTTGTCTGTCCCTTTGGCCTGTGTGTGAGCAGTTCTGCCAGATCTGAGCTGCCCGTGCTCTGGACCAGCCCTCTCCAGACCTTTTGCTGGATAGCCCATCTCTTCTGGTTTCTGAAACGGTTGGGCCAACAGATCACACTCATCTCTTTGGCTAATGTTTGTCAAGCCCCACCCTGGCCAGATGTCAAGGCTACCTGAACAGGCTGAGAATTTTTCCAGAGCATAGATACTGGCTTCCTTCTGCTTCAGTTTCTTTTCCTTATTTGTATTTTACATTTTATTTTTATTTTATTTTATTTTTTTTTTTTTTTTGTCGGCCGTGGGGCTTGAACTCTGGGCCTGGGCGCTGTCCCTCAGCTCTTCAGCTCAAGGCTAGCGCTCTACCACTTGAGCTACAGTGCCACTTCCGGTTTTCTGGTGGTTTATTGGAGATAGGAGTCTCACGGTCTCTACTGCCCGGGCTGGCTTTGAACCGAGATCCTCAGATCTCAGCCTCCTGAGTAGCTAGGATTACAGACGTGAGCCACCAGCGCCTGGCTGTATTTTACATTTTTAAAGCAGTAAGGTAAAAACCACGGTGTACCTTCCACACTGCTTAGAAATTCCTTGGATGTATGGCAGGCATTTTGCTCCTTACTTTCCATCCACCCAGGCTTCCTGCTGACTTCCCTCCGGGTCCCAACATTGTTCTCAGTGTGACATGTATCCTTGAAGATGGCTGCAGCTTGTCGGGGGCTGTTAGCTCACGCCTGTCATCCTAGCTACTCAGGAGGCTGAGACCTGACGATCACGGTTCAAAGCCAGCCTGGGGCAGGAAAGTCTGAGATTCATTTCCAATTAACCACCAAAAAATGAAGTGGCTCTATGGCTCAAGTGGTAGAGCGCTTGTCTTGAGCTGAAGAGCTGAGGGACAGCGCCCAGGCTCAGAGTTTAAGCCCATGACCACCACCAACAACAAAGTGCTCAGGGACATCATCCAGGCCCAGAGTTCAAGCCCCAGGACCATTTTTTAAGAAAAGGATGGTGACAGCTTTCCTTCCCTACTGAGCCTTTGCCAGCATTATTTTATGCATGTGTGTACCAGTCCTGAGGCTTCCAACTCAGGGCCCAGGCTCTGGCCCTGAGCTTTTTTGCTCAAGGTTAGCACTCTACGCCATAGCTCTGCAGCTGGCTTATTGGTGGTCAATTGGAGATAAGAATCTTATACTTTCCTGCCCTGGCAGACTTTGAACCGAGATCCTTAAATCTCAGCCTCCTGAGTAGCTAGGATTACAATCATGAGCCACTGGTGCCTAGCTATGCCATCACTATTTTATCATCCATGTTTATTATTTATTTATTTTTGGAGTCCGGTAGTGGGGCCTGAACTCTGGGCCTGGGTGCTGTCCCTCAGCTCTTCAGCTCAAGGCTAGCGCTCTACCACTTGAGCCACAGCGCCACTTCCGGCTTTTTTCTTTTTGCTGATGTGGTGCTGAGGAATCGAACCCAGGGCCTCAGGCATGCAAGGCAAGCGCTCTACCACTGAGCCACCTTCCCAGTGACCTCATCTTAACCAGCTGCACCTGTGTCTGCTCTGGTTCCACGTTGGTCACGTTCTGAATACTGAGTCTGACACGGACCTGTCTTTTGGAGGGCCTCTGCCTCTCCAGTGCGTTCTGCTCTCTGGCTGCTGGGCTGCCAGCTGAGCATCCTCCTCCCCCGCAGGCCATGCGGACCCTCAGCTGGAAGCACACGCTGGGCCTGGTCACCCTGGACGTGGAGCTGGCCGACCGCACGCTGTCCGTGGCCGTGACGCCGGTGCAGGCTGTGCTCTTGCTGTACTTTCAGGACCAAGGTGAGTCCCCATGCCCTGATTCTGGTTTTAGTTTTGCCTTGGGATGAGTACCAGACAGGGCAGTCCACCCGCAGCCTTGGGTCACCAACTGGGCAGGTGGCACTCAGCCGGGGCGGCCTCCAGAGTCCTGTGTCTCCGCACGCAGCCAGCTGGGCCTTGGAGGAGCTGAGCAAGGTGGTGAAGATGCCGGTGGGACTGCTGCGGCGGCGCCTGTCCGTGTGGCTGCAGCAGGGCGTGGTGCGGGAGGGGCCTCCGGGCACCTTCTCTGTCATCGAGGAGGAGCGGCCCCAGGACCCCGACAGCATGGTGCTCATCGACAGCGACGACGAGAGTGACTCGGGCCTGGCCTCGCAGGCCGACCAGAAGGAGGAGGAGCTGCTGGTATATAGGCAGCGGCGGGCTGGGGCTGGGGCTGGGGTGGTCCCAGAGCGCAACCCCCCTGACCTGCCCGGTTCCTGTCCCAAGCTCTTCTGGACGTACATCCAGGCCATGCTGACCAACCTGGAGAGCCTCTCCCTGGAGCGCATCTACAGCATGCTCCGGATGTTCGTGATGACCGGGCCCGCGCTGGCTGAGATCGACCTGCAGGAGCTGCAGGGCTACCTGCAGAAGAAGGTCCGGGATCAGCAGCTCACCTACTCGGCCGGCGTCTACCGTCTACCCAAGAGCTGCAGCTGAGGCTCTGCCCGGGGGGGGGGGGGGGGGGGGAGCACTGATGTACGCAGTCCCCACCCCCACAACCCTTTCCCTGTACCGCTGCCAGTCCTTCCCTCCTGGCCCTGTATCCTTGCCCTGCTCCTCCTCCCCACACCCCTGCCCTGCTCCTCCTCCCCATCCTGCCCTTCATACCCACACCCCTGTCCTGATCCTTATCCCCTACATCCCTGTCCTGCCCCCCCCCACTTCTGCCCTGCCCCTCCTCCCCACACCCCTGCCCTGTCCCACAACTCCTGCCCTGCTTCCTCATCCCCACATCCCTGCCCCCAATCCCACACCCCTGCATGCAATACAAATTAAAGCAGGTCAGTTTCTCATCCTGTGTCCTGCTGGCTTTGTGGGCCCCATTGGACACATCCGGGTTGGTCTTCCTCCACTGGCCACATTATCTCAGCAGCAGTGAGCCCACACAGGCCGGGCCTGGTCCCTGAAGGTGGCGTGTGAGGCCACAGCTGCCTCCCGCAGCCCCTTAGTCCTGAGCCGCTTGGTCCACTGTTTGGCCTTTGAAAGGAGCTTTATCTTATTGTTTTATTTAGTGTTGTTATGCATGCTTGAACTCAGGGCCTGAGTACTATCCCTTTGCTTTTTCTGGTCAGTGCTGGCACTTCACCGCTTGAGCCACAGCTCTTCTTTAATTGGAGATTAGTCTTAACGGACTTTGGTGCCAAGGCTTCAAATGTTGATGGTCAGATCTCAGGCTGGTATTACAGCGTGAGCTGCTGCACCTGGCAGGGAAGGAGCCCTTAGCCCCCAGTCTGCAGCTGTTGTAGGGGCCTGGCTGTCAGGAGCTCTGCACCTGTCCAGCAGTAAAGAGCTACTCCGGGACAGGCCCTGGGCAGGTCCAGAGGGCCGAGGTCTTGGATGGGGGCGGGATGGGGCGGGGGGGGGGCGGGAGTGGCCCACAGGGCTCATGAGTGCGCACTTCAGCAAATTCCTCCCTGTCCCTTGGGCCTGTGGTCGGGGTCAGAGTCCAGCCACCCCAGAGGACATACCAGTAGAAGCCTCCACATTGCCAGTGCCCTGAGCACCACAGTGGCTGAGGAACTTTAGAACCGGGTAAGGCTACTGCTTCCCTGCCCCAGAGCTGCCGTCTCCAGGCAGGAGGCGCCCGGCCCCAGAGTGCCCTCTTAAAGGGAACAAAGGCCTTTTGTAGCCTGCTGCCTCCAGAACCTGCTCCTGCCAAGGTGCACAAGCCACACCCAGTGTCCGCTTGCTCCCTTGCCCCAGATGCCCCGCATGTCCCTGCTTTCCCCTTGTCTGCTATGGGAGGTGCAGAAACAAGTGCTGCCCTCACCATGCCCAGAGCTCTGGAGCCCTGGGGGCAAGCCCTCTAACGCACTCTGCTACTGGGCGGCAGTGGCTCCCACCTGTAGCCCTGACCATGCAGGAGGCTGAGATAAGTACAGTGGCTCCCACCTGTAGCCCTGACCATGCAGGAGGCTGAGATAAGTACAGTGGCTCCCACCTGTAGCCCTGACCATGCAGGAGGCTGAGATAAGTACAGTGGCTCCCACCTGTAGTCCTGACCATGCAGGAGGCTGAGATAAGTACAGTGGCTCCCACCTGTAGTCCTGACCATGCAGGAGGCTGAGATAAGTACAGTGGCTCCCACCTGTAGTCCTGGTCACTCAGAAGGCTGAGGTAAGTACAGGTCTTCTATTTCTAGCACCAAATAAGTCAAAAGTGACTTGCTTTTCGGCCTCAGGCAGCACAGCCTGACCTCGCCTGGCGTCCGCACAGGCCTAGGAGAGACACAGCTAACGGTGGCTTGCCCCTGGCTCTCGGACCTCGTCACCTAGTGCTGTCGCTGCGTCTCTGTACCCCCCAGTTCTGGTGGCAGTTGAAGCCCTGAAGCCCACCATTCACGAAGTGGCCATTGGGTTCCACCCCCGCGGCCACCACCTGGCCCTGGGCAGGTGTGCCTTTGTTTTCACCAGGATGTAAACCTGAGGGGCTGGCCAGGCAGGGTGGCGGTGCCAACCCCGCGGGCACGCCTTGTACCCTGGACTCCCTTTTTAGTGGTGTCCGCAGGACCAGGGGATATCCTGGGCACAGCTTTGCGCATCGAGTGCATAGGCTGTGCAGGGTGCTGGCTTGCTGGCTGGGTCCCCACGACCCTGGCTGCAGGACACCCGAGTCTGATCAAGGAGGTCCCTGGCGACAGACTGCAAGTCAGTCATACCTTCCCCTGGTGTCCCTGTGGGGCCTGGCCCAGTCAGCTGGGGTTGGCAATGGCTCCTGCTCAGTCTGGTTTGCTTGGCAGGCCCTTAGAGCAAGAAAGGAGGTGGCAGGGTGGGTTTGCTCCACACCCCAGCCTGGATGGCATGTTCAGGGAAGAGAATTAACTCTCACCATGCCAGCCTGCAGGTGACCAACTGCCTGTTCTACAAAGGTAATAGTTCTGAGCACTGGGGTCTGAACTCTGGACTGCTCATGCTTGCTTAGCTCTTTTGCTCAAGACTGGTACTCTACCACTTGAGCCACACCTCTCCTTTCAGCTTTTTGCTGGTTAGTTGGAGGTAAGAGTCCTGTAGACTTTTCTGCATGGACTGGCATCAGACCTCCATCTTTGGCTCTCAGCTTCCTAAGTAGCTAGAATTACAGGCACAAGTCACTGGCATCCAGCTGGACTCTAATATGCATGTAGGCTGGAGGCCGAAATCAAAGAAGGGATGTTCTGAGAGCATAACTTGGGTCCTGCTTGGACAGATAGGGCCAGTGCCTTCTCCACTCTCCTGGGTGCCTTGTGATCCCTGGACTTGGTTTAGCTGGCAGTGGGGGGCTCTCTCTCCTGAAGCAGCTGACCCCAGGAGGGGGGGAGGGGCCGGGCCCACAGTTGGCTGGAGTCCAGGCCTACTCCTAGCCCTGAAACCCATAGAGAAAATACAAGTCCCAATCCCCTATACCAGAAGCCAGAGAGCCCAGGCCCCATCCCCACACCAGGGCCAGAGAGAGCAACCAGGCCCCATCCCCACACCAGGCCAGGCCTGAGCCCACCTTCTTTACTACAAGGCACTGTGTGTGTGTCCTCAAGGCTCAGACTCACTATTGCCTGCCTCAAATCTCACCATAACCCCTAACTCCCTTTCCACCCTGCCCCATCACTAGCTACCTGCCCAGGGCTCCTGGTATCCCGGAGCCTGGCAGCAAGTCCGGCTGGCCAGGGGCCCAGGCCCCACCCCCATTCCATGCCTCAGAGCCCCACTGTGAGGTCAGCGCCTTCCGACAGGCCCCCCCACCTCCCGAGTTCTGTCCAGAGGTATGTGGTGGGACAGGGGCCTGGACATGGCCCCCTTGCCTGACTCCTGCCTGGCTGGCAGCTCCGTGGGCCTGATATGTTTGTCCCTCTTGCTCATCCCTGCTGCAGGTGCCTCCTTGGCCCCAGCCCCTCCCCCAGCCAGAGCCTCTCCCCTTCCCAGGCAGGCTCAGCCAGCAGGTGACTGGTGCCTGGCCTCCTGGCCCTATCTCTGCAGCTGGAACCTACTGTGAATGCAGCCTGGGCCTCAGCCGGGAGGCCCTCATTGCCCTCATTGTGGTGCTGGCCGGTGTCAGTGCCAGCTGCATCTGTGCCCTTATTGTGGTGGCGATTGGCGTCTTTCAAGCGAAGGGGTGCGTGAGCCCTGGGCGCTGGGAGTTGCGGGAGGGGGTCAGGCCTTGAGGGGCCTCTGCCCCTCGAGTGGGATGTCACCACAGGCAGCAGTGTTTTCTGGATGTGGACTGGGGAGAGGGTTCCAACTCTGTTCCGCCTTTCACACCTAGCTTTATCCCCCCAGTGAAACATGTCCCAGACACGTGGACAGGAGGTGAGTGCCAAGGGAGGTTTGGGGTGTGCTGTCCCTTTGCTGTCCCTCGCGGGCGGCACTCCCAGTAGCACTGAGCACCCTGTCCCAAGCGGACAGTCTGCCCTGCCGCCAGTCAGGCTGACCACCCTCCTCATGCAGGGTGTTAGGGCACTTTGGGGTTCAGGAAGACCGAGTGGACCTGCGCTCAGTGCACGTGGAGTCCCATCTCATGGACCCTGACCTGGAAGTCTCCATGATGCCATCTCTGGAGGAGAGCGCCCTCCTGACCATCCCCATGGAGGCTACCCTAGAGGAACCGTCCCCACCCTTGGCCCCACCCCCACCGCCAGACTAGAGCGGAAGGCAGCTGGGCAGGGAGATTAAACAGTATTCGGTGATTGTGCCCTGTCTTCCTTCCAAGTTTCCAGAGCCCCTAGAGGCTGCATCGTGGTGTATGTGTGTGTGTGTGTATGTGTGTTGGGTGCAGACAGGGAACCGTACCCTTGGGGTTTCCACCTTCTGCCCAAGCTGGCAGGCCAGCTCCTGCTTGCATTTTCCTGCTTTGTTGCACAGAGTAGACAAGGACGCTGAGCCCTCTCCATACTGCCCGCCCTCATGTCCCAAGATAGGATCTCAGCTGCAGGGGAGCTGCGTGGCTGGGAGGCCTGGGCCAACCCCGGTCCCCTCCCCACAGAGACCCCTGAGGTTCCAGAGGGGGCTTGAGGCACTGGCTGCTGCCTTTCTTGCCGCTAGTGTGCAGCCCCTCTTCATCTCAGGGCCTGTCCCCTGAGCCAGGTCTGTCATCCACCAGGGCATGACACGATCCTATGTTCTCCACATGGGTCCCTCTGCCCAGCCGAGCAGCACAGAGACCTGAGTGGAGCGGCACGCACGGTCATGGTGGTGGGCCTGACCCTACTTGCTCAGGCGCCACCCGGGGCGCAGGGCCAAGAGCCAGGCGCTGCGGGGCAGGTGGCTGGCGTGCTGGGCGTTGGCTGCGGGCCTGGCCTCCGCCCCGTGCGCTGGCCCAGCCGTGGGGCAGGAACTGCCGGCGCTGGACAGGGAGCTGACGCCCGGCCGGCGCCGCAAGGACACACTCCGGATCAGCAGGGCCCCCGAGACGCACGGGCGGGCGCGGGGCCTCGTCCTCGGGCTGCCCCCATGAGAAGCCCCTGCCTCGCCTCGCGGCCCAGGCCGCTGCTGCTGCTGCTGCTGCTGTCGGTGAGGTTGGTCTGGGCCCCGGCGCCCGTCGGAGTCCCCGACTGCCCCGAGGCGTGCGCGTGCGCGCCGGCTGGCCGGGCCAACTGCTCGGGCCTCGCGCTGCCCGCGGTGCCCGGGGACCTGGGCCGGCGCCTGCTGGAGTTGCTGCTGGACCACAACGCCGTGCGCACGCTGCCGCCTGGAGCCTTCGCGGGCGCGCAGGCGCTCGTGCGCCTGGACCTCCGCGGGAACGCGCTCCGCGCCGTGCACGCGCGCGCCTTCTGGGGCCTGCGGGCGCTGCAGTGGCTCGACCTGAGCGCCAACCGGCTGGAAGCCCTGGCACCGGGCACCTTCGCGCCGCTGCGTGCGCTGCGCTCCCTCTCGCTGGCCGACAACCGGCTGGCGCTGCTGGACCCCGCGGCGCTGGGCCCGCTGCCGCTGCTGCGGGCGCTGAGCCTGCAGGACAACGCGCTGTCGGCGCTCGCGCCCGCGCTGCTGGCCGGGCTGCCGGCCCTGCGCGCGCTGCGCCTGCGCGGCAACCCCTGGGCCTGCGGCTGCGCGCTGCGCCCGCTCTGCGCCTGGCTGCGCGGACACCCGCGGCCCGCGGCAGGTGAGCGGCCGGCGGCGGGGCGGGGCGGGGCGGGGCGGGGCGGGGCGCTCCGGGCCGGCCGCCGCCTGACGCTGAGCCCGTGTCCCGCAGAGGCCGAGACCCTGCTCTGCGTGGCGCCGGGGCGCCGGACCCTCCGCCCCCTGACCGCCTTCCCCGACGCCGCGTTCCGGCACTGCGCGCAGCCGCTGGCCGCGCGGGACCTGGCGGTGGTCTACGCGCTCGGCCCGGCCTCCTTCCTCGCCAGCCTGGCCACCTGTCTGGCGCTGGGCTCGGCGCTCACCGCCTGCCGCGCGCGCCGCCGCCGCGCCTCTGCCCGCGGTCCCCCCCGGAGGCCGCCCGGCCCGGGCCCTGCTCCCCGCCCTGGACCCGGCCCCGACCCCGATCCCGGCCCTGCTCCCCGCCCCGGCCCCGGCCCCGATCCCCGCCCCGGCCCCGGCCCCGAGGGCCTCGCCGCCGCCGCAGACCCCCGAGCCTGAGCAGGCCACGGGAACCCCAGCGAGCGTCCCCTCGCCCCCTGGACTCCCCGCACCCCCGGCCCCCCTCCACGCCCCCAGGCGACAACAAGCGACACAGAATGGAAAATTTCGTGACATTCCTTTAGGCATCTCCACTGAGCGCGGGCGGGGCGCGGGCGGGGGGTCGCGGCTGCGCACTGCGGCGCCGGGAGCGGCGGGGCGCGGGGCGGCCGGGCCGGGCCGGGCCGGGTGGGGGGCGGGCGGCAGGCAGGCAGGCAGGCAGGCAGGCTTCCCAGGCCGGGGAGGCGGGCGGGGCCGGAGGCAGTCTGGAGTCTGGAAAGGCCTGCGGTGTGCGGGCCGCGGGCCGGGCCGGCTCGGCCCTCCGGGCGTCGGGGGCCGCCGGGCGCCCCCGGGAGGCGTACGGGGAGACGGGCAGGGCCGGCCCGGCGGAAGAGGGTGGAGCGGGGGAAGGGTCGTAGGAGGGGTGCGGCGCGAGCGGCGGACTCGGGGCGCGCCCGCGCGCGCTGCGCGGAGCGGGGGCCGCGGGGGCCGCGGAGGCCTCGCCCCGCCGGGAGCCGCCCCGCCCGGGTTCCCCGTCCCCGCCGGCGTGCCCCGCGGCCCTGCCCAGCCGGCTCGGCTTCGGCCCGTCCTCCGCTTGGCACCTGGGTCCCGGCGGGCGGGCGCAGGGGCGGCCCGGGCGGGGCGGGCGGGCAGTCTCTGGGGCGGGCGGGCGGGCTTCCCTCGGGCCTTCCCGAGCTGCCGGACTCATCAGTGTCCTGGGCCGGGCTAACGGGGCAGGTGGGCGGCTCCGGGGCCTCACACCACGGTGCTGACCGAGGGATCTGAGAGGTTGAGCGGGCCCGAGATATCAGTGGGATGGTACTGCTGCAAAATAGAAATACACAGACAAGGCGGCCCGTTAGCCCCGCCGCCGGGCGCGGGTGCGGGCCGGGCGCGGGTGCGGGCCGGCTCAGGGTGGGGGGCCGCCGGCGGGCGGGCGCGCGCGGCCTGGGGGAGGCTGGGGGTGCTCCTCCCCGACCCCGTGGAGCTCCGGGGTCCTGCGTGGCCGGGCCGCCGTCCCGCGTCTGTCTGTCTGTCTGCGGGGGAGGGGCAGAGGAGGGCGGGCGGGGCGTCTCAGCTCTCCCTATGACGGGAACACAGCTGCAGCGGACCCTCCTCCCTCTCAATAGCGCGTCGCGGCAGCACTGTGTCTTTTTGGTTTTGCAAAGCGCCGCGTCCACCCCCGGTGCTCTATAAATAAGAACCAACAATCAATACCCGCCGGCCGCCGGTCGTCAGGGGCCCAGCCCCGGGCGTCCGGGCCGGCCTCAGGACGGGGGCCGAGGACCTCAGCGGCCGGACGCCCCCCGCAGCCCCCCGCCCGCCCCGCCGCCCCCCGCAGCCCCGCAGGGCCGGGCCAGCCGGAGATGCCACCCGGCAGCAGGGCTGGTCCCGGAAGAGTCCTGGCTGCCCGCGGAGGCGGGGAGCGCCCACCGGGAGCAAGCCCCCGCGAGGGCGCAGGCCCTCTGAGCGGGGCCTGTCACCTGCCGGGCTTTTGTGCCTCCTCCCCTGTGGCCACCTGGCCTCCCGACGCTGCTGCTGCTGTCTACCAGATGTCTTCTTTCCCAGCAAGTCCCCCGTGCTCAGACCCTGCCCTCTCCTGCTTCCCTGCGCCCCCTGGCGGGGCCTGGGTCCCACTCTGCCCGGCCCGCATGGCCTGCCGGTCCTGGGGATTGTGCTTGCCCCAACTCCTGGAGCCACGGTTGCTCTGGTCCACAAAGCCTCTCCCCGCCGGCTGCCAGCACCGCCTGGGCCATGGGGCAGCCAGACCTCTGGGGCCCCTTGGAGGTCCCACCCAGAGCTTCCTGGGCACATCCTGGTCTCTCCCTGGGACGCAAGCTGGTTTGGGGTGCCCCACTGGTTGGGGGGGGGCTTCTTGTAGGCTGAGGTCTGTGCTGCCAGGGCTGCCTTGGGGAGTGAGAGTATCTCTAGCAAGGCCCTGTGCTTTGTGGGTCGTAGTCCAAGTGTGTGTTTCAGGTGCCCTAAGGCAGGAGACAAGGCTCTGGCTCAAAAGACTGGAGGCCTAGTGCTGACTGGTTGTGGGGGAAGGGGGTGTCTAGGAGCAAGAGTTGAGGCCTGTCTTGGCCTTTCCTTCCTGGCCCTTCTCCTGAGAACCTCCTTTCCAGGCCTCCCCATGGGAGCAGGGCTCAGAGGGCTACTTGAGCTGTCCTCAGGTCTGGAGTTGTCACCACACTTCAGACAGGGCCCTGCTCCACCAGGATGGAAGCCACCCGTCTGCCCCCCCTCCCCTGACAGCCCCACAGCCAGGGGCCGGTTCCAACGCTAGGCCCCAGCCATCCACCCAGATGGACCCAGGCCCAGCCCCCAGCCCCCGCCCACACAGAGACCACATGGAAGATGCAACACGCATGGCTCTGGTGAAACAGGTGAGACAGGTGTCTGGGGGGCAGGGCCAGCGGCCAGACAGACGGACGTGATGGGACATCAGAGCTGCCCCGCAGGGCGGAATGAGGGCGGCGGGGCCCTGGGGAGGCGGCCCAGGAGCAGTGTGGCCTCCTGGCAGGGGTAACCTGAGACAGGGCCACTTGGCTCCCAGGGTCCAGGCGCGGCCCGGAGAGGTGGTGAGGCTGACTGACTGACTGACAACCGACAACATGAGACGGCTTCTGAATGGCGTGGGGGGTCACGGCATGGGGGAGGGGCGGGCAGACTAACGAGAGACACACGAGGGAAGCTGAGGACCAGAGAGGGCTGGGAGGGGGCGGGAGAGCCCTGGCCGCAGCGCGGTGTGTGCGGGGGGCGGTGCTGGGGGCTGAGTCCGGCAGCGGCCCAGGCGGCCGGGGCAGAAGTGGGTGCGGGGGTGGGATGGCCAAGGAGGGGAGGCAGACATGGGGCGGGGAGGTTCGAAGACGCGGGACTGGGGGGCCCCCCTTACCGTGTCTTTGGAGGACCTACGTCTCTTGAAGCTGGAGGCCAGGGTGGAGGTGATAGCCCTAAATGTGGCTTTCTTTTTAGGGTCAGCCTCTGCTCTACCACTCTTTCTATCCTAAAATGAATATGTATAAGTGATTAGATGGCTGGGGGTGGCGGCCACACCTGCCCTCGTCTGCTCCTGGGGCCGCTGCCAGGCCTGGCTGGCCACTCGGACCCTCGCTCTGTCTGCCTCCCTGTGCTGGATAGACGGACTGACTGTGGCTTCTTCTGGCCCAGGTCTCCGGCCTGACCTTGCTCGTGCTGGGGCTGGACTCGGGGTCCCGCTGGCTCTCTTCCTGGGAAGTCGGCCTGGCTCCCCAGCTCCCGGGTGGCCCTGGCTTACAGATGTCCTGAGGAGCCCTGAGGACCGGAGGCACTGCCCTTCATGCCACATCAGCTGCCCTTCTGTTTGCAGGCTGCTGACCCCAAGGGGGACACACACCAAGATTCGGAAGAGGCCCAGGGCCAAGGCAGGTGTCCAGATGGATTTGGAGCAACAGACAGAGGCAGCTTCCGGGATGCTGGCCTGGAGTCTGACCAAGGTCGCCCTGTGCCCACCAGTGAGGGCTGTGGCCCGGTCCCCAGGGGACCTGTAGCCAAGAACAAGAACGGGCGGATGAGAGGTATGAGGGCTCCAGCAGCCCTGTCCCCACCGTCCTCACTGAAATGCCAGTGTTAGCTCAGGACACAGCTCCAGGAAGGCACCCAGAGAAAGAGAAGAGATGAGCAAACCAGACCTTGACCGGAGGCTGCCAGCCCAGGGCCCACTGTCCCCACCCCGGAGCGCTGTGACTGCCCCACGAGTGGCCTTGCCCCCCGCTGGCAGGAAGTCCCCATGGACAGGGCATGGGCACCAGGCAGGGCAGGCCAGCCCATGCGGATGAGAGTCACGGAGCTGAAGGACCCAGGAAGGGGCTTCCCCAAGAGCGTCCAGGGGCGGTGGGCATCGGGGGCCAAATGCATCTCAGATCCATGGGCTGCACACAGGTGGACCCCTGTCTTACCCTGCCTGTTTGCCTTCCTACGGAATGGGTGCTGGCAGGCGGACTCTGGAGACAGAGGGGCCAGGCAGAGGTTTGGAGAAGGGCGTGTGACCTCCCTTGACCCAGATCAGTGGGATGGCCACCTGCGGACAGCCTCCTACCAGGGCTGCACCTGTGCCCCGGGAGCACTCACCGCTGGCCCTGGCCGTGGCTTCTAGCTCCAGTCCTGCCCACGGGAGCCAGAGCCAGAGCCACAGCCTTCAGGGACGGAGGAGGGGCGCGGCCAGGCCGGGCCCGTGGCGCCAGGCCTCAGAGGGTGGCCTGCCCTACCTGCAGGTTCTTCCTCCACACGTTCACGGCTGCAAAGGCCAGCTGCATTTGCTTTCTGCGGGCATCCTTGTGTCTCTTGTAGGCAATCTCAATGAAAATCAGGAAGATCCCTGCCACGATGCCGCCAGCCACCAGCATGAAGACCCCTGTGTGTGGGACCTGAGGGCTCAGTTGCTGGCTCAGAGACTGCAGCCCTTGAAGAGCCGTCCCCAGGTGAGCACATTGGTGGAGGGGAACAGAAGGCTGAAAGGCCTACCTGCCATGTTCTCAAAAGTGAGGGTTGCAGGGGCATTGCTGCGAGAGTCGCATTCCTGGTACCGGACCCATGTCTTGTCCAGGTCTTCCATGAAGCCGTTCTCATGGGACCTGGGGTGTGGAGTAAGCCAGGGCAGGATTGTGGCTGGTTGGGGGCCAGGAGTGCCCTCCTCCCCCCTTGTGTCCCCTTCTCTCTCTCTCTCTCTCTCTCCCTCTCTCTCTCACACACACACACACACACACACACACACACACACGTGTGGGCTGGGGCCTGCCACAGGCAGGTGCCGTCAGTCCCTGTGCTTGCTACAGGGATTGGCTGCAGTCTGGCTCGGCACTCGGGAGTGTAGACACAGATGCTTTGGCCAACTCACTTGAGTATGGACAGGGAGACATTTTGTTTCCAGGGGCTGTCCTTGCGCATGCCAATGCCAAAGCCAGAGCGGAAGAACAGCTCTCCTGTGGTTACCAGGTCACACTTCTGGGAAGCCTCGAACTCCAGCACAGCTGAGTCCCAGATGAAGGCGTGAAGCTTGCTGTCAGCAGAGATGGGGTTGTGGGTCCTGGCATGAATGGGCTCCCTGCCCGCTCATACCCCAGAGGCCCCCTGCCCCCCTTGCCAGCCCGCTCAGCGAGACGCAGCTCCGCTCTGAGCCCGCTCACTTGTCCCGCACGGCCTGGATGGCCTCTGCGGCGCTCTCATAGTTGTGCTTCTCCATGTGCCGGTACATGGTGCTCAGCTCCACCTGCCGCCGGAAGTAGATGTCCACCGAGCTCTGCTTCACAGTCGCATAAATGAACTTGTCGGAGGGGTTCCTGAGCTGCAGGGGCAGAGGGCAGAGCTTGCAGCTGCTCCTTAGGCTCTGCCTCGGGTAGACTTCTGGTCCCCTCTGGCAGCCCAGCCAGGCCTTACCCGTGGGTCATTGATGCCTGTGATGCGTTCCTCGGGCCTGTCTAGCACCAGGAAGGCAGCCAGGTTGGCAGTGTAAGAGGCGACGATGATCATGGCGAAGCCGGCCCACACCATGCCCAGGATGCGCGCCGAGAAGCTGCGGGGCGCACCTGGAGGCAGACTCCAGTCAGCGTCTGGAGGGCAGGGGCGGAGCAGGCAGGGCAGGGACGGGGCAGAGCAGGCAGGGCCCGGCACATAGCCTCACCTTCTCCAATGCCAGAGTTGAGCAGGACACCCCAGGAGAACCACATGGCAGATGACAGGGTCAGTGCATCTTCCTCTTCCTCCTCACTATTCACTTTGAATCGGCCAAAGGGACTGCAGGGTGCAAAGGGCAAGTGGGAGAGAGGGCGGGAGAAGTGTCCCGCCCCACCCCCTCCCAGCTCTGCCCACCTAATAGATGGAGGTGTCTGTCTGGCTCCGTATGGCGCTCACCTGAAGCGATCCAGCAGGTACAGCATCACAGCCACCACGTGCACGGACAGCCCCACCAGCAGCCACAGTGTGCTCTGAAAGGGCTGCATGAACGAGTCCAGGGTGCTCCGGGGGATCTCCTGCAGGCAGACAGGTGGTCAGCGCTGCTGGCATCCCAGGTCACATCCCACCTCACCTGACCTCTGCCCACCTTTTTGACCAGAATGGTCAGGCCCTGGTACTTGAAGGGCTTGGAGAATTCAATGTACTGCGCCCGCTCATTGTTGATGGTCAGTGGTGCCACAATCATGTCTGCTTGCCCACTGAGCAGCTCGCCCATCATGCCATTCCACTCCTTTTTGTTGCTGTTGTTCACCTGTATGGCGACAGAACCAAAGGTGCTGTGGGGAGGGTTGGCACAGCGACTGCACGGGACCTTCCACCCCTGGACTAACCTGCTCCAGACAGTCCAGCGCCAAGGCTCCTCCCAGGACAATGCTCCGCCCATCTGCCAGGCCCCGCCCACTCGCCAGGCCACACCCACCTCAAGACCCTGCCCAAGCCAAGGCTCTACCCATTCCCAGGATCTGCCTAGCTGCTGGCACCGCCCATTCCAAGGTCCCACCCACTGCAAGACTCCGCCCAGTCCATAGCTTCCGTCATCCCATAGACTCCACCCAGCCTCAGGCTCCACCCATTGGTGTTTTCAGCTTCAGCACCCACCCCCCTCCTTGGGCCCCTCCTCTGCCTCCTCCATGCTCCTCCCACGGGGCGAGGCCTGGGAAGGCCCCGCCCACCCAAGGCTCCTCCCTCCGGCCCACCCTTCCAGCAGGCCTACCCTCTCCTGGGTGCCGAATTTGCCATCCGCCACCAGGTGCACCTCGTAGGTGAAGTTCATGGTTCGTGCCAGCTTGATGAGCAGGTCAATGCAGAAGCCATAGCAACACTGAGGCACGGTGTGTCGTGCTGGGAGGGGTGGAGGCGCGGTCACCACGGGCCTCCCGGCCGCAGCCCATAAGGCCGCCCCTGGCCCCGCCCCCGGGCCGGGCCGCCCCGCCTCCAGGCCCGCCTCGCCCTGGGCCAGCCCCGCCCTCGGGCTCTGGCCGGCCCCATCCTCGGCCACGCCCCAGACCGGCCCCGCCTCCAGGCCACGGCCCCGCCCCCAGGCCACGGCCCCGCCCCCAGGCCACGGCCCCGCCCCAGCTCACGGTTGCCTGGGGAAGTGTCGTTGGGCCCCGTGCAGATGACCTTCTTGACCGGGTCGCCGTTGACCGTGGACTCCTCCTTGCACGTCCCGTCACTCATGGTGGGCTTCACGTACACGAAGGGCTCCTGGTGGATGGTCACGATCTGCGGGGGGAGAGGCCTCCGCTGGAGCCACACACGACTGGCCACGGGGCCCTGGAGCCCCGCGCGGGGACGCGCGTCCACCCCTGCCTCTGCCCCCAGGGCACCGGCTCCTCCGCCCGCCCCAACGCGTCCAAGTGCCTTCTGGGCTGGAGGCTGGGCTCAGCAGCAGAGCTCCTGCCTAGCGGGTTCGAGTCCAGGACTGCCATAAAAGAAGGAAAAAAGCAAGTGTACTTTTTTTTTCCTTATGAGTTCTGCGGCTTGAACTCAGGGTCTGGGTGCTGTCCCTGATCCTCTCTGTGTTCAAGGCTAGCTCTACCACTAAGCCACAGTGCCACTTCTGGCCTTTTCTGTGTTTGTGGTACTGAGTATTCGAACCCAGGACTTCATACATGCTAGACAAGCACTCTACCACTGAGCCACTTTCCCAGCCCACAAATGTACTCTATCTGACTTATGTAACTGTAGCCCTTCTGTACATCACCTTTATAATAACAATAAAAATATTTTTAAAAGGCCCAGCATCAGTGGTTCACACCTGTAATCCTAGCTATTCAGGAGGCTGAGATCTGAGGATCATGATTCAAAGCCAGCCTGGGCAGGAAAGTCCGTGAGACTCATCTCCAATAAACCACTAGAAAACCAGACATGGTGTTGTGGCTCAAGTGGTAGAGCGCTCATCTTGAGCTGAAGAGCTGAGGGACAGCGCTCAAGCCCAGAGTTCAAGCCTTACAACTGACAAAAAAAAAAAAAATTTTTTTTTAAAACACCAGCACTGGAGACTTAAGCCTGTCATTGTAGCTACTCAGGAGGCTAAGCATTTAGGATCGCGGTTCAACACCAGACCAAGAAAAAAAGTTCATGAAACTCTTATCTCCAATAAACTACTTAGAAAAAGCTGGAAGCTGCATTGTGGCTCAAGTGGTAGGGTGCTAGCCTTGAGCATAAAGAGGCTCAGTGCCCAGATCCTGAGTTCAACCCCTAGGACTGACAGTAGAAAAAGGAAAAGACTCCCCAAAAAATTATTAAGGAAAAACTTCCTGAAATACTGCTCCCTTCTTGTGGTCACCTGGCCAGGTCCTGGCTTTCACAGTACTTGAGCCTGTGGGTCTGTGCAGAGTGTCAGGCTCATGCTCTGCTGCTCAGAGAGGAGAAACTGCCCACCCCGGCAGAAGCCTGCCAGAGCCTGCTGCCCTGCCCTGAGGGCAGGGCATGCCCACTGGCAGCTTGCCAGCGCACCTGACTGTCCTCCACCGGCCTCGTGGCTCAGGCTCCGCAGGAGAAGCCTGTGACCTAACCCTTCTGTCTTGTCAGTACTTCTCTACATGTAAGCTTCAGCTTGTCTCCCTTCCTGTCCTTCAGGACCTGCAGGTTGGTAGTGGAAGACCTGGAGATGCGGAAGTGGAGCTGGTGATGGGGAAGGCAGAGAGCATACAGGACAGGGCTACACAGAGGCACGGGGGCACACAGGCCTGGGCTATGATGGGCAGTGGTACAGAGCCTTCACCAGAGGTCTGCTGCGGGAGGACAGAGCCTCCACTGGCGAGGACTCAGGAAACAAAGACTGCTTTCTCCTAAGGGGCAATCTGTCAGCTTATATGTCGGCAATATATCTCAAGAGGCAAGAGCACTGTGAGCCCTTGAAGGAGCTTATTTGCTTTTTAATTTTTTCATTATCCTTCTTTCCTTCCTTCCTTCCTTCTTTCTTTCTGTCTGTCTGTCTTTCTTTCTTTTTTGGTCTATTGTGGGGCTTGAACTCTGGGCCTGGGCTCTGTTCCTCAGCTCTTCAGCTCAAGGCTAGCGCTCTACTTGAGCCACAGCGCCACTTCGGGTTCTCTGAGTGGTTTATTGGAGATAAGGGTTTCATGGACTTTCTTGCCCGGGCTGGCTTTGAACCGTGATCCTCAGATCTCAGCCTCCTGAGTAGCTAGGATTACAGGCATGCGCCACCAGACACCAGTGCCCGACTCCTTCCTTCCTTCCTTCCTTTCTCTTTCTTTCTTTTCTTTCTCTCTCTCTTTCTCTCTTTCTTTCTTTTTCTCTTCTTTCTCTTTTTGTGCCAGTCCTGGTGCTTGAACTCAGGGACAGGGTACTGTCTCTGAGTTTCTCTTGCTCAAAGCTAGTGCTCTACCATTTGGGCTACAGCTCCACTTTTGGCTTTTTTTCTATTGCTCATAGGGCTTGAACTTGGGGTCTGGGCACTGTTCTTTAGCTCTTTTGCTCAAGGTTATTGTTCTAACACTTTGAACCACAGCACCACTTCTGGTTTTCTGGTGGTTAATTGGAGATAAGAGTCTCATGGGCTTTCCCGCCTGGGCTGGCTTTGAACCTGATTCCTCAGATCTCAGCCTCCTGAGCAGCTGGATTATAACTGTGAGCCACCAGCACCTTACAATCACTTCTGACTTTTTTGGTAGTTATTAGAAATAAGAATTTCATAGACGGGGCTGGGAAGGTGGCTCAGTGGCAGAGCGCTTGCCTTGCATGCCTGAGGCCCTGAGTTCGATTCCTCAGCACCACATAAGCAAAAAGAAAAAAGCCGGAAGTGGCACTGTGGCTCAGGTGGTAGAGCGCTAGCCTTGAGCTGAAGAGCTGAGGGACAGCGGCCAGGCCCGGAGTTCAGGATCCACAACCGGACCCCCCCCCAAAAAAAACAAAAAAGATCTTAGCCTCCTGAGTAGCTAGTATTACAGGCATGAGTAACTGGCGCCCAGCTTCATTATGTTTTTCTATTACACAAGTGATATATGGTAGCCCTTAGAGAAAATAGTGAGGCCAGAAATAAAGTAGTAAATAATATCTGGGCCTCATAGCCTTAATGGGGTCCTCAGGCCATGGGTGTTTTGACTATACATTCAGACTTCAATACCAGGAACCTGAGAGGCAAGGGAACACCACACTGGAGCTGGAAACGCCGGTCTTATCAGTGGGGAAGGACAGACGTACATAAAAGATGGCTGGGGGGAGGGGAGGCGTGGAAGAATGAGATGTAGAGTGGCCACAGGGGGATCTTGGCCCTCTAAGGACTCTAAGGTCCTGAGGGATGGCCTTAGGAGCTGGTCCCAGGCTCCAGGGTTGGACTCAGAAAGCAAACGGGGTTGAGACACATAAAGACCTGGGGACACTGGGCACATGATACTTAAAGCCCTGCCACGGGTGGTATGTGACACCGGCAGAGGTGCTGCGGTGTGGTCTGACTCCCCAAACAGCACCTAGGACAGAGTCCATGGATGAGCCTGAAGAAGTGTGCAGTCAGAGCGAAGAAAAGAGACTAGCCAGAGGAGGGGCTTCTGGAAGCCCATGGAAGAGATGGGCCACCTGGAAGAGAAAGCTATGCAGAGGGCCAGGCCTCAGGGGAGCAATCTGACGCCAAGGCCACCTGTGCACTGCCAATGTACCGCCCCAGGCCCAGCCACCTGTGCACTGCCAATGTACCGCCCCAGGCCCAGCCACCTGTGCACTGCCAATGTACCGCCCCAGGCCCAGCCACCTGTGCACTGCCAATGTACTGCCCCAGGCCCAGCCACCTGTGCACTGCCAATGTACTGCCCCAGGCCCAGCTGGGCGGGACAGATGGGTGTGAGACCGTGGGGGATGGGGGGGGAGGTGCAGTTGCCTGCCTCCCCTCCTGCCTGCTTCCTCTGCCGCCGGGAGCCGGCCCAGCTCTCCCTACTTGGCTTCCTCTGGCCTCACTGCCCCTTGGCCTAGGCCTTAGGGAGGAAGTAGAGTGTCGGGTGGGGTGCTGCGTTACTAGGGGGCCCCACCTTTAGCCTGGTAGACATCTGGTACCCTGGCGGCTTCTCCGTCTCTCCCCCTGGCCAGATGATCTTCCTGTCATTTGGGATGACCTGGGGGTGGGAGTATGAGATGGAGGGTGGCCACGCAGGGGTCTTGGCCCCAGGACCCTAAGGCCCCAGCCCCCACCCCCTCATGACCCCCACCTACATGGGTGCCATTGTAGATGCCCACTTGCACCAGTTTGCGATTCTGCAGGTTCATGATGCTGTAGTTGGCGAACTTCCGGTCCCCGTCCTCATTGAACTCCACGCGGCCAGTCACGCCCTCCGCGTACTTGGAAGACATAAGCACCCTGCAGGGGGCGCGGTGTAGACTGAGGGGGCGTGGTTTCGACATGGGGGCGTGGTTCCGACATGAGGAGGGTGTAGATGTGAAGTGGGCACGGTGTCATGGGGGCGTGGTGCAGACCTGAGGGGGCGTGGCAAGACATGGGGTGTGGCGTAGACATGGGGGCGTGGTGTAGACGTGAGGGGGCGTGGTGTAGACGTGAGGGGGCGTGGTGTAGACGTGAGGGGGCGTGGTGTAGACGTGAGGGGGCGTGGTGTAGACGTGAGGGGGCGTGGTGTAGACGTGAGGGGGCGTGGTGTAGACGTGAGGGGGCGTGCTGTCGACAAGGGGGCGTGGTATAGACGCGAAGGGGCGTGATGTGGACATGGGGCACATGGCAGAGACCAGGCAGAGAGGCTCTTTCTCCACTTGCACACCCCCAGAAGTCCCAGCCCAAGAAAGGAAAGATGAGCAGACGGCAGACCCCGGGCTGAGCGGTGGACACGCTTAGCTGTGCCAGATGGACAGCACGACTAGTAAGTGGACCCTGGGAGGCAGAGTCTGTGTTAAGGGCTTTCTCCGGAGTGGGGGTATTTGATCCTCACAGCAGCCATCCTGTTTGTTTGCTTTCTGAGTGTTTTTTGTTTTATTTGCTAGTCATGGGTCCTGAACTCTGGGCCTGGGCGCTGTCCCTCAGCTCTTCAGCTCAAGGCTAGCGCTCTACCACTGGAGCCACAGCGCCACTTCCGGCTTTTTCTGTTTATGTGGTGCTGAGGAATCAAACCCAGGGCCTCATGCTTGCAAGGCAAGCGCTCTACCGCTGAGCCCCCTTCCCAGCCCCTGTTTGCTTTCTTATTTGTGTGTGTGTGTGTGTGTGTGTGTGTGCAACTGGGGCTTGTACTAGGTGCTGTCCCTGGGCTGGTGGTCTATCACCTCAGTTCCACTTCGGGTTTTCTGGTGGTTTATTAGAGATAAGAGTCTCACGGACTTTCCTGTCTAGGCTGGCTACAAACCAGAATCCTCAGATCTCAATCTCCTGAGTAACTAGGATTACAGGTGTAAGCCATTTGCCCAACTGACATTCACTTGCCAGTAATCAAGGGAAGCTGACCGAGCCTGACATCTGGTCTGACCACTAGGCGGTCTGGACTCGCTGTGTGTGTACGAGTGCTGTACTCATTGGGTTGTGTCAGGTCACCTGTATGGAGAGGCCCCGTACATGTGCTGTGGCACCTGTGTCAGGTTCCTCTTTGAGTTTCTGTACACATGTGTACATGTGCGCAGTCTGCTTCTGCACCAACGTGTGTTGTTATGGGTATCACCGACAGCAACTATTCTGCCTTGAGTGTCAGGAGGTATGAATTCACCCTAACCCTCGGTAACTGTTCTCTTAACTCTGGCTCTACAGGCTCAGAGATCCCACAGTCCGTCTGCCTCCTTGGCTGACCTCCTGAGCCCTCACAGGAGCTCCAGAGCCTCCCCCGAGGGCCGCGAGGCAGGCTGCAGCATGGACTGGTGGGGACAGCAGAGCAGGGAGGCAGCCACAGGCTGACTGACGTTAGCTTTAGGAAAATGGGCGGTTTACCAAGCCACTGAGTCCGGAGGGTGCCTACTAGCCGGACCTGAGGCCCAACTGGCCAGAGCAGCCCCGCCCCGAGAGGCCCCGCCCCGGGAGAGGGAGGCCCGCCCCTCGAGGCCATGCCTATACCACAGCCCCGCCCCGGAGTGGCCCGCCCCTCTCCATCCCGACCACGCCCACACACCAGCGACCACACCCACACACCAGTGTCCCGGCCCCAGAGAGGCCCGCCCCCTCGAGACCACGCCCGTCCAGGCCCCGCCCCGCGGCCCCGCCCACCTCACCTCTTGAACAGCGGCCCAGTCTTCCAGATGTTGGTGTTGCCCACGCAGCCCCTCGGCGGGTCCGTGATGTTCTCCTTCTCCAGCAGCTCATGCACCGCCTGGGCCACCACACCCACCGCGTCGCTGATGTGGGCCGATTCGTTCTTGCCGTTGATGAGCTGCAGTCCGATGATGCCTGCGCGAACCTGCGGCTTAGGCCCTGGCCAGGCCCCGCCCCCGGCGCCCCAGCCCCGCACGCGCCCTCCGACCGCACTCACCATCCGGGGCGTAGCGCAGGGCGTTCCCTGAGATCTCGCGCTCGCCCACCAGCCACACGTAGCCGGAGCCCGTCATGTTGAGCATCGCGGCCGCACGGTACACGGTGGCAGCGTCGTCCTCGCTGTGGGGCAGATGGGGGTGACGGGCCAGGACTCGGCGGGCCCTCCGCGGGCCTCGGGCCTGCTCCCGGCCGCCTGCGTGGACCTGCGCGGGCCTCGGGCCTGCTCCCGGCCGCCCTCCGCGGGCCTCGGGCCTGCTCCCGGCCGCCTGCGTGGACCTGCGCGGGCCTCGGGCCTGCTCCCCGCCGCCCTCCGCGGGCCTCGGGCCTGCTCCCCGCCGCCCTCCGCGGGCCTCGGGCCTGCTCCCGGCCGCCTGCGTGGACCTGCGCGGGCCTCGGGCCTGCTCCCCGCCGCCCTCCGCGGGCCTCGGGCCTGCTCCCGGCCGCCTGCGTGGACCTGCGCGGGCCTCGGGCCTGCTCCCGGCCGCCCTCCGCGGGCCTCGGGCCTGCTCCCGGCCTCCCTCCGCGGGCCTCGGGCCTGCTCCCCGCCGCCCTCCGCGGGCCTCGGGCCTGCTCCCCGCCCCCCTCCGCGGGCCTCGGGCCTGCTCCCGGCCTCCCTCCGCGGGCCTCGGGCCTGCTCCCGGCCTCCCTCCGCGGGCCTCGGGCCTGCTCCCCGCCGCCCTCCGCGGGCCTCGGGCCTGCTCCCAGCCGTCCTGCGCGGGCGCAGGGATCGGACACGGGAGCCGGCCAGCCTTGGGCCCGCTGCGGCTGACGGGCCACGGGCTCAGCACCAGACACCGCTCGCCATGGCGGCCGGCGCCACCTTCCTTCCCAGGACAGCTCCCGCGTCAGAGGGAAACCGAGACACAGCTGGAAAGTGCTGAGTCAGCCGTGTGCCTAGGTCCACCGCGGTCGGGTGTAGGTGGACAGTCCACCGCGGTCGGGTGTAGGTGGACAGTCCACCGCGGTCGGGTGTGTAGGTGCCGCGGTCGGGTGTGTAGGTGGACAGTCCACCGCGGGCGGGTGTAGGTGGACAGTCCACCGCGGTCGGGTGTGTAGGTGGACAGTCCACGGTCGGGTGTGTAAGTGGACAGTCCACCGCGGTCGGGTGTAGGTGGACAGTCCACCGCGGGCGGGTGTAGGTGGACAGTCCACCGCGGGCGGGTGTAGGTGGACACTCCACCGCGGTCGGGTGTGTAGGTGGACAGTCCACGGTCGGGTGTAGGTGGACAGTCCACGGTCGGGTGTAGGTGGACAGTCCACTGCGGTCGGGTGTGTAGGTGGACAGTCCACGGTCGGGTGTGTAAGTGGACAGTCCACCGCGGTCGGGTGTGTAGGTGGACAGTCCACCGCGGGCGGGTGTGTAGGTGGACAGTCCACGGTCGGGTGTGTGTAGGTGGACAGTCCACTGCGGTCGGGTGTGTAGGTGCCGCGGTCGGGTGTGTAGGTGGACAGTCCACCGCGGTCGGGTGTAGGTGGACAGTCCACCGCGGTCGAGTGTAGGTGGACAGTCCACCGCGGTCGGGTGTGTAGGTGGACAGTCCACGGTCGGGTGTAGGTGGACAGTCCACCGCGGTCGGGTGTAGGTGGACAGTCCACCGTAGTCGGGTGTGTAGGTGGACAGTCCACGGTCGGGTGTGTGTAGGTGGACAGTCCACCGCGGTCAGGTGTAGGTGGACAGTCCACTGCGGTCAGGTGTGTAGGTGGACAGTCCACGGTCGGGTGTGTAGGTGGACAGTCCACCGTGGGCGGGTTTGTAGGTGGACAGTCCACCGCGGGCGGGTGTAGGTGGACAGTCCACCGCGGTCGGGTGTGTGTAGGTGGACAGTCCACCGCAGTTGGGTGTGTGTAGGGGGGTAGTCTACCCCAGTCGGGTGTGTGTCTGGACAGTCCACCGCGGTCAGGTGTGTCTGGAAAGTCCACTGTGGTCGGGTGTGTAGGTGGACAGTCCACTGTGGTTGGCTGTGTGTCTAGAGAGCCTACCACAGAGCCCATGGCCCTGTCCTCCCCACAGTCCCTCTGTCCTCCATACTCAGAAGTGTGGAATGTCTGTGGGCAGCTCTCTGGATCCCTGGATCTCTTGGATGCTGTGACCCAGGGCCCTAGAAGCTCCCTGAGCAGCGTGTAGAAGCTATTGGCTGAGGAGGGTCTGCCCTCACTTTGGGGTCTGCACAGGGGCAGTGTCCCCCCGATGCAGGAGGAAAGAGCACAGGCAGGCGTCACCTTGCAGGGCATGTGGTCCTGAGTCCTGGGGGTGTCTTCATGGGAAGCTGCTGTGGGCAGTGAAGCCAGGGACCTGGTCCCATGGGACTTAGTCTCCCTGGTGGTGACAAGAGCCCTGGGGCCTGCGTGGGTTCCGGGAGCCCCTATGAGCCCTCCTCAACCCATTGCACCCTGCCCCGCAGGCCGGGCCTGACCGCACACCAGCACAGACCATGACTGGGCACTCGGCTTCCTCGGTGCGTGGGAAGTCGGGGCAGCCAGGCTGAACAGACTGCCTGAATGTCGGAGCACTTTTATATTGGCTGCCTTCAGAACCTCACGTGTCCCTGAGCTCTGCTGGCCTGTTCCCAATTTTCTCAAGGACTAAAGAAGGAGAGCCATTGCTTTAAATGGCAATGCGGGTGCTCAGTGTGAGTCACACGAAGCAGCTTTGCCGTGGCTGCAGTGGCAGCGCCTGGCAGGGAGCCGAGCTTGGTGGCAGTCACTCAGAACCCAGCACTACTTGTGTCAAGGGACGACATGCCGGATGTCAGCTGTGCTGACGCCAGCAGGAGCCTGCCCCCACCCTCTTGAGGGTGTACCGGGTTGGAACTCAGGGCCTTGCACTTGCTAGGCAGGTGTGCAACCACTGGAAACACCACCAAGCCCCTTTTCTTTCAGTATTTGTAAAAGATGGTCTAGCTTGTTGGCCAGGGCGCTCAACCATGGCCCTCCGATTTCTGTTTCTTTGTTGGAAAGGTAGGTACAGACCACCACGTCCAAAGTTGGTCCTGCCCATTTGTATCCAGGCTAGCCTCAAACCAGGATCCTCCCTATCTCTGCCTCTCAAGTCACTGGGATTACAGAGATGAGCTCCAGCGCCTGGCTAACGCCAATGTTGTTGACAAAATTCAGATCTGTGACATGTCACTGGGTAGAATGCTTGTAACCAGTAGAATTGTAGACAAGAAGTCTGGTCAACCCATCTAAACTTAGACCATTTTATGGAAATAATAAAAACCATTAGAGATGTTTGGAAGAAAATAAAAATGAATGGCTTTGAAAATTAAGTCTACATGTTCTCTCTTTTTTTTTTTTTTTGGTCTTTCCTGGGGATTGAACTCTGGGCCTGGGCGCAGTCCCTCAACTCTTCAGCTCAAGGCTAGGGCTCTACCTCTTGAGCCACAGCATCACTTCTGGCTTTTTTCTGCTTATTTGGTGCTGACGAATCAAACCCAGGGCCTCATGCATGTGAGGCAAGCGCTCTAGCACTGAGCAACCTTCCCAGGCTGCAGTCTCTATATTCTGTGGAAAGTTGATTGTAAAATTGTGATCAGTTTGATGGAGTCTCAGCAAGGAGGAACTAAAATGTGGCACGTGGCTGTGGGGTTTAACTCAGTGGTGGAGCCCTTGTATCGCATGCATGAGCTTTGTGGCTCTGCAGGTTTTAAGGCTTAAAAAGATGTGACAAGCCGGGCACCGGTGGCTCACACCTGTAATCCTAGCTACTCAGGAGGCTGCAATCTGAGGATCTCGGTTCAAAGCCAGCCCGGACAGGAAAGTCATGAGACTCTTATCTCCAATGAACCACTAGAAAACTGGAAGTGGCGCTGTGGCTCAAGTGGTGGAGCACTCACCTTGAGCTGAAGAGTGCAGGGACAGCCCGGCCCAGAGTTACATCCTCCCCTCCCCCCCCCCCCTTCACCCTTCAAAAAGATGTGACAAGCCCAGTGCCAGAGGCTGATGCTGGTAATCCCAGCTCCTCTCAGGAGGCTGATATTTGAAGATCAGAGTTCAAAGCTAGCCTGGACTTTCGAGACTATCTCCAATGAACCACCAGAACACCAGAAATGGAGCTGTGGCTCAAGTGGTAGAGCGTTCGCCTTGAGCTGAAGAGCTGAGGGACAGCGCCCAGGCCCAGAGTTCAAACCCCACAACTGACAAAAAGAAAAAAGATGTGACAGTTTGAAATGCCCGGCCAGGAAGACATGGGAGGGGCTGTCTGGGGCTGGCCCCCTGTGCTCCTGGGCTAGCCAGCCAGCCCTCTGGTGGGGATCCCGGCTGTTTGGAGGCCAGCACATGCGAGGAGTCAGCTCCAACAGACTAGGGCCCTTGCATGCATTCAGGTGGGTGTGAGGGTGATAGATACCTGCAGTGTATGCATGTGTGGGCCGTGGTGGGCTTGTGATACGTGGCATGCCATAGTACAGTGATAGATGCCTGCAGTGTGTACATGTGTGGGCCGTGGTGGGCTTGTAATACGTGGTGTACACACAGTAGGACACACATGGATGTTGTGTGTATATATGCAGGTGTTCATGCCTGTGGGTCCCTGTAGGTGGTATACCTGTATGTGTCCATGTGCACTGTGTGTGTGTGTGTGAGGTATAGGTATATAAGAGCTCTGAATATGGCTGAGCATCAGTAGCTCACAACTGTAATCCCGTCTACTCAGGAGGCTGAGAGCTGAGGATCATAGTTTGAAGGCAGTCTAGGCAGAAAGTCTGTGAGATTCTTACCTCCAATTAATCAAAAAAGCTGGAGGTAGAGCTGTGGCTCAAGTGGTAGAGAGTTAGACTTGGGCAGCACCCAAGCCCTGAGTTCAAGCCCCAGGACCAGCACACATACAAAAAAAGAGATCGGAATTGGTTATGCACATGGGTATACATGTATAATGTGTACACAGAAGTGTACATGTGTGCCATGTGCTCAGTGCATGTTGAGTCCTGTGAGCATAGGTCATGTGAGTGTGTGTCAGTGAGTGTGCATACATGTGTGCTGTGTGCTTGATGCATGCTGAGATATGTAAGGGTCATATGAGTGTGACACGCCATGTGCTTGGTGCATGCTGAGTCTTGTGTGTGCATGAGTGCCTGTTGATCACACGCGCATGGTGAGTTATGTGAACATACATCATATGCACATGTGCACCATCTGGCCAATGCATGCTGAGACTTGTGGACGCAGGTCACGTGAGTGTGCACACATGTGTATCGTGTGCTCAGTGCATGCTGAGCCATGTGAACACAGGTTTGGTGAGTATGTACATGTGTGTCATGTGCTCAGTCATGGCGAGTCATGTGAGCATAGGTCATGCGTGTACATGCGTGCTGCATGCTCAGTGCATGGTGAGTCATGTGAGCATGGATCATGTCTGTGTACAAGTGTGCTGTGTACTCAGTGTATGAAGAATCATGTGACCATGGTTAGTGTAAGTGTGTGTACATGTGTGCTATGTGCTTGGTGCATGGTGAGTCATGTGAACACAGGTCATGTGTGTACATGTGTGTCACATGCTCCGTCATGGTGAGTCATGTGAACACAGGTCACATGTACATGTGTGCTGTGTGCTCAGTGCCTGGTAAGCCATGTGAGCACGGATGTCTGTGTACACGTGTGCGGTATACTCTGTTGAATCATGTGACCATGGTTAGTGTGTGTGTGTGTGTGTGTATGTGTGCTATGTGTTTGGTGCATGGTGAGTCATGTGAAATGGGTCATGTGAATGCATGTACATGTGTGCTGTGTTCTTAGTGCATGTTGAGTTGTGTGAACATGGGTCATGTGAGTGCATGTACACATGTGTCATGTGCTTGGTGCATAGGGAGTCATGTGAACACAGGCCACACAGGTAATTGTACATGTGTGCTGTGTGCTCAGGACATGGTAGGTCATGTGAACATGGATCATGTGAATATGTGTACTTGTGTGTGCTGTGTTCTTAGTGCATGTTGAGTTGTGTGAACATGGGTCATATGAGTGTATGTACACATGTCGTGTGCTTGGTGCATAGGGAGTCATGTGAACACAGGTCATACAGGTAATTGAATATGTGTGCCGTGTCCTCAGTACATACTGAGTCATGTGAACATATTGCATGTGTGTATGTGTACCCTGTGCTCAGTGCATGCTCAGTCACCGGTCATGTGAGTGTGTGTGCACACGTGCCATGTGCTCGGTGCATGGTGATTTGTGTGAACATGGGTCATGTGAGTGCGTGTACATTTGTGCTCAGTGCACGGTGAGTCGTGTGAACACAGGTCATGTGTGTGTTCACATGCCTACTACCACCATGCCCCTCCTCGGATGATCTTTCTCAAGAGCTGTGTCTGGCAGGCCGGCCCTCACCCTGGGTTTGGTCTGCACATGTTGGACTCTTCACCCCTAGAAGGAGGAGTCCCTGGGGCTGGTCTGGGGCCCAGGGGGAGGTGGGGATGGCGTCCCCTGCTGGGGCATGTGCGTGTAAGTTCCATGGTTTGGGTTCACATGTGCTCTCTGGCTCGTGTCCAACCAGTTATGGTGTGTGGGGTGGGCAGGTCTGGCTTGGTTGCACCCTTGTCCACTGCCCAACTGCCCAACCGTTGAAGGGGTGTTTGGGTTAATGGTTCCTGAGGTTGTCCTATCCAGGATGAAGCAGTCTCTGCGGATGGCTGGCTGCCTGTCCACGAGCATGCGGCATTGGTCAGATCTCCCTCACGTCCTGTGAGAGGAATCTGAAAATGAGAGGCCTTGCCTCCCTAGGGCCTCTGCTGGCCTGCTTGCGTTTCTAGACACCGTTGCAGTGTTCTCTATGGAGGCCCGGGCACCTCTTACGACGTGGGCGCTGAGGGCTGGGTTTGGCACTGGGTATGCAGGTGGGGGTGGTGATGGACACCTGCTGGCCCTGGCCGCGGAGGCCCAGGGGAGCTGGGAGCCGCTCTGGGCACCGCTCCTGGCTCCCTGCACTTGTGTAGTAAGGTGGCGGCGGCTGCTGTCACCATTGAGTGGTGAAGGACAATCTTGCCTTCCGGCCTGGGGAGCCGTGGCTGAGCAGCCTCGCTCTGCGGCCTTGGCCAGAGGTTGCTGCCTGAATGTGGAAGCAGAGCTCGGCCGTGACTGAGCATCGCCAGTGCCCCCCCCACCTGTAGGGTGGCGGCGGCTCTGGGCATGTTCCTCTCGACCTGGCCAGCAGCCGTTCTTCACTGTGCTAGACTGGGTGGGGGCAGACAGTGGGGGCATCCACTGAGCCTCCTGCTGTCCCAAGGTGGGGCTGCCTCCTCCCCCAGCCCCCTATCCCCAGTCCCTGTGACCTAGCCCTTCCTCTCCCGGGGCACTCACACTTTACACACAGGGCACTGAGATCTTTACTGGGTAGCTGGGTGTCGGTGGGCCATGCCTCTAATTCTAGCTACTCAGGAGGCTGAGATCTGAGGATCACAGTTCAAAGCCAGCCTGGGCAAGAAAATCTGTGAGACTCTTATCTCCAAAAAAAAACAAAAAACAAAACAAAACCACCAGAAAACTGGAAGTGGCACTGAGGCTCAAATGGTAGAGTGCTTGCTTTGAGCAGACGAGCTCAGGGACAGTGCCAGGCCCATAGTTCAAGCCCCACAACTGACAAAAAAGAGAGAGATCTTTGCTGTGGGCTTTTTCCCAAGGCCATGGGGTGTAGGCCAGGCCCTGACCAGGGGAAGTCTGGTTTTCATGGGCCTCTAATTGGTCCTCCCTGGTGGTCCTTTGGTTGGAAGGTGGCCTTGGTGCAGTCTGTCACCTTGCTGTGCCCCTCGGCCGCAGCCCTTGGGATGTTGGCATAGGCATGTTTCTTTGAGTGTGGGGTTTCCTAAGAGCAGAGTCTTCTCCATCTCCCTCTCCCAAAGCCTAACCCAGGACCACGGAAGGGGTCTGGGATGGGTGGACAGAGAAGGGGCATGTAGAAGTGGCCGGTGTGCTGGGTTGGGTGGCAGAGTTTCCTTGGTGAAGGTGTTTGGGACCCTGAAGATCACCTGGTCCCACAGTGTGGCAGCCATGGCCGGTGCGGGGCTGCAGCTCAGCACCAGGTGACGTGGGGCTGGGCTCACTCGCTCACCTGGCGGAGAGAATGATGACGCGTGCCTCCAGCTCCCGCGCCTCCATCAGCAGAGCCGTCACGTTCTTGGTCCCCGGGTCAAACTGCAGAACCTTTTCAGCCTGTGGTGTGAGCAGGAGCATTAGCAGGGAGCAGGGGTGGGAGGCCGCAGCGCCTCAGGGGCGCGAGTGTGGCTGAAGCCACCGGGAACCCCGAGGCAGCGCAGCGAGCACTGCGCCGTGCCAGCCGCTGCGCGCTGCCTGCCTTCCTCACTGCACAGGCCTGACCTCACCTCCTGCCCTGTCTTCAGCCTGCCTGCTCTCCTGTACGTCCTCTCTCCTCTCTCTGCTTTCTCTAGAGCTTCCTTTCCATCTCCTTCCTGTCCTTGTTTTTGCACTGGGCATGCAAGCTGAGGTGGACCGAGACTCAGAAACAGACGTGCAGCGGACAAGAAATAGAAAAGTTTTGGAATGCAACCGGGAACGGAGGCGGGGCCAATTTTTCCAAAACCTCGGGAGCTCCTCTCAGCTCCGGCCCCTCAAGGAGCAGCCCGGACCCTGGGGTGGCCAGGGGGCGGGCATCCTCCCTGGGTTTCGCAAGGAAACCCTGGTGGTCCCAGAGATTTGCATGCACTTCCCAGAGAGCAGCGCCTCCTGCGGCCGTGCCTGCCTCGGACGCAGGCCGGGGTTGGGGCGGTGGGCCGTGGGCACCCACACGCCCGCGCGGGCCTCTGCTGCCTGCTGCCGCCGCCTTGCAGCCTGCCCCTCCTCCGGCGGCGGAGGCAGCCGCGGGGCTTGCTAGGCGTGGGTGGCGTGCACGTCCATGCATATATACCTTGGGTCCGCGCTTGTTGTCATAGGACAGTTGGTCGAGGTTTTCATAGTTCCTTTTTTTACTCTGATGAATAATGCGCACAGAGAAAATATGCAGACACAGAAGAAGATTATAAACGGTTGAAAATGACGGCGCCAAAGCAATCACATCACCTCCTCGGCAGGTCTGCAGACGGGCTCGGACCTGGAGCTCGCAAACACCGAGGCCCGGGACTGGGCAGGGCCAGGTGGTGCTGAGGGGTGGGGTCACGGGGGAAAGGGGGTCCTGGTCCACATCCACCCTGGAGGGTCCCACCTTCCCCCCACCCGTCATGCACCTGCTGTGTGGCCCCGCCCCCACCGGCCAGGCCCCTGGGCCCCCCCTCCCCGGGGCCCTGACCCCTGTCCCTCCTGCTCCCCTGGCTCCCCCTGCCTCTGGCAGCTGGGGTGCCCTCCTCTCACTGATTGGAATGTGAGGCCCGCCAGCCCGCAAGTGCGCCTGTGTGTGTGTGCACGCGCGTGTGTCTTCAGGCACCTGCAGGGGGCGTTGGTCTGGGAAGAGATGGGGGCAGGGCATGTGAGTGCATGTGTCCGAGTGTGTTGGCAGGCGCTGGCAAGCAGGTGCGGGGTGCACCGTGTGTGTCTGCGTGGACGGTGCACAGTGTCTTGGAGTTGCGGTGCGCATGGATGTCCAGGGAGTGACTGAGCACTTACTGTGAGTGTGGGAGGGGCGTGGGGGGGGGGTGGCCGTCTGAGGCTGTGGTGGGGGGTGTGGGGGTGGGGGTGGCCATCTGAGGTTGTGGTGGGGGTTGTGGGGGTGTGGGTGGCCGTCTGAGGCTGTGGTGGGGGGTGGGGGTGGCCGCCTGAGGCTGTGGTGGGGGGTGTGGGGGTGGGGGTGGCCGTCTGAGGTTGTGGTGGGGGGTGTGGGGGTGGGGGTGGCCGCCTGAGGCTGTGGTGGGGGGTGTGGGGGTGGGGGTGGCCGTCTGAGGCTGTGGTGGGGGGTGGGGGGGGCCGTCTGAGGCTGTGGTGGGGGTGGGGGTGGCCATCTGAGGCTGTGGTGGGGGGTGTGGGGGTGTGGGTGGCCATCTGAGGCTGTGGTGGGGGGTGTGGGGGTGGGGGTGGCCGTCTGAGGCTGTCGTGGGGGATTGGGGGTGGCTGTCTGAGGCTGTGGTGGGGGATTGGGGGTGGCTGTCTGAGGTTGTGGTGGGGGTTGTGGGGGTGGGGGTGGCCGTCTGAGGTTGTGGTGGGGGGTGTGGGGGTGGGGGTGGCCGTCTGAGGTTGTGGTGGGGGATGTGGGGGTGGGGGTGGCCATCTGAGGTTGTGGTGGGGGTTGTGGGGGTGTGGGTGGCCATCTGAGGCTGTGGTGGGGGTTGTGGGGGTGGGGGTGGCCATCTGAGGTTGTGGTGGGAGATGTGGGGGTGGGGGTGGCCATCTGAGGTTGTGGTGGGGGATGTGGGGGTGGGGGTGGCCATCTGAGGTTGTGGTGGGGGATGTGGGGGTGGGGGTGGCTGTCTGAGGCTGTGGTGGGGGATTGGGGGTGACCATCTGAGGTTGTGGTGGGGGTTGTGGGGGTGGGGGTGGCCGTCTGAGGCTGTGGTGGGGGGTGTGGGGGTGGGGGTGGCCATCTGAGGCTGTGGTGGGGGATGTGGGGGTGAGGGTGGCCATCTGAGGTTATGGTGGGGGTGGGGGTGGAGGTGGCCATCTGAGGCTGTGGTGGGGGTTGTGGGGGTGTGGGTGGCCATCTGAGGTTGTGGTGGGGGTTGTGGGGGTGGGGGTGGCCGTCTGAGGCTGTGGTGGGGGATGTGGGGGTGGGGGTGGCCGTCTGAGGCTGTGGTGGGGGGTGTGGGGGTGTGGGTGGCCATCTGAGGCTGTGGTGGGGGTTGTGGGGGTGGGGGTGGCCATCTGAGGTTGTGGTGGGGGTTGTGGGGGTGGGGGTGGCCATCTGAGGTTGTGGTGGGGGATGTGGGGGTGGGGGTGGCCGTCTGAGGCTGTGGTGGGGGGTGTGGGGGTGGGGGTGGCCATCTGAGGTTGTGGTGGGGGGTTGTGGGGGTGGGGGTGGCCGTCTGAGGCTGTGGTGGGGGGTGTGGGGGTGGGGGTGGCCGTCTGAGGCTGTGGTGGGGGCTGTGGGGGTGGGGTGGCCATCTGAGGCTGTGGTGGGGGAGTGGGGGCTGGCGTCTGAGGCTGTGGGGGGGTGCCAGAGGGCAGGTGTGTGGGATGTTGGGGTGGCTATCTTTGGAAGGCTAGAGTCCTTGGCAGTCATAGCCACCTCCCATAGACCCTCTAGGTCTGCCCAAGCCCCAGCCCCCAGCCCCTTTGTCCCCCGAGACCTGTGACACCTGGGGTAGGGGCCCAAAGGTGGGGCTAATGAAGCCAGCTCTGACTCAGACCGAGCATGCTCCCCACCCGCCAGCCCACCCGCCCACATGCCCGCCAGCCCACATGCCCACCCACCCACCCGCCCTTGGCCTGCGCCTGGGGCTTTTTCCCTCCCCGCAGACCCAGACGCCTGGCCTGGTGGCCTGGCCTGGTGCTGAACCCAGAGCCCTGTGGTCAAATACAGCTGTCCAGGCCAGCCTGTCCTCAGGCTGACCACAGGGTGGGCAAGGAAGGGCTCGGGGGTCACTCAGACCCCCAGAATTCCTGGCTCTGATCCCTGGCAGTGCCACGATATGGGTGGCTGGATGGCGGGGGGGGGGGGTGCCAGTATGTCCTGGAGTAGTGTGTCTAAATCGTCTTGTAAGGAGGGAGGGGGTCTTGGAGGGGGGACAGCAGGGGGAGTTGGGATGGGATGGAGGTATGGTGTCAGTGCTGGCTGAGGCCTCCCTCAGTGGGAACCTGGGCCGTGTCCCAGCAGGGGGTGGCTCAGCCTTTGGGGGTGGCCAGAGTAGGAGGACAGCCATGGAGGCCGCTGGGACTTGGCACTGGGCAGGGGCGGGGCTGTGTGCTGCCAAGTTCTGAATCTGGTCAGGGCCTCTGCTGACCTGGCTAGTGCTGGCCGGATGGGGAGTGGGGGCCTGTGGGCCCTGAGGGGCGGGAGGGGCGAGGCAGGGACCAGTGTTTGCGCAGCTCCAGGTAGTCGTGCCCCCGCCCGGCAGGGACTGACACGAAGGAGATTTCGACTAATGGCAAAAGCAAGTGAAATGAGCCGAGGACAGGCCGGGGCGTCGCCGCCCGGCGAGGTGGAGCGGAGCATGCAGGATGGAGAGAGAGGTGTTCACAAGGAGCCACAGACACGGCGCCTGCCCGCTCCTGCCAGCCAAGGCGCCCGCCCGCGCCGGGGCCTCACCTTGGACTCGCGCTCCTCCAGCAGCGTCTCCAGGCGCTTCTGCGCTGCCCGGCCCTCGTGGTCATCGCTGACTAGCAGGATCACGTGGTTCCAGCCGTAGACTCGCATCATCTCAAACCAGACGCTGGACTGGTGGGAGTAGGGTGGCACAGTGCGCAGGAAGCTCAGGTGGATGCTCTGTGGGTGGAGCCGGGGAGGCTGAGGCCGTGTGGCTGGGCGGCCAGCTCCTAGCCCTCACGCCGCTGCCCCGTGTCCTGACCCCTCCCGTACCGTCTAATCTGAGAAGTGAAGGGCTCTGGGGTCTCTGGCACCTCCCTGATTGCCCACCCATCATTAGATGGCTGGAGCTCAGAAAGTTCTGCCAGAGAGCACTGCGGAGACCCCAGGGGGCTGCATGTGGGGGCTGCCCCAAATTTCAGAATCTGCATTTAGGATTGAAATGTGGCTGAGTAGGGGCTGTGGGGCCCGGGTCTGGCTGTGAGTGTGCGTCTTCTATTTGGTCTTCTCAGGCCCAGGCGGTTGGCCTGTGGTGATTTCACCCACGCCGCGCTGTGGAGCCCCAGCTTCTTGTTTGCCTTTGGCTGTTTTCCTTGGTGGGACACATTTTCTCCCCTCTACGAGCGAGGACACTGCTGCCAGGGAGGTCAAAGGGGCTGTGGCTAGAGGCACTGGGGCGTATGCATTTTCTTCCAGGCTGGGTGATGTCATGGATGCAGTTTGTGAGCTTGGGTGTGCTGGCTTTCTGCACCTCAGCATGGATGGCTGGCCTGGCCTTGTTCTGTTCCCCTGCGTCTGACCCAGGGAGCCTGGCCTTCCTTCCACTTCATCCAAGGGAAACACTGTCCTTTCAGACTCTCTTGGGGCTGGCTGGGTCCAGTTCTGTCTTAAAGCAGCTTTATTTGGGACTGTGGCCTCTAGGCAGGAGGAATTTGAACAGGCGGGAGACCCAGCAGTTCACTGCACAGTCTACCGGGTGCTCTAGCTCAGCCAAGGCACCACCTGGCTGGCCTGTGGCCGCTGAGCCCCAGCTGTCAGGAGCCTAGGGCCTACAGGGGTGCGGGTCTTGGTCTCTAGCCCTTCTAGCGACGTGGGGCCCAGACGTATCCCCCTTGGGGGTGCTCCCAGGCAGAGAGGGAGTGAGACTCCACAAGCTACAGCAAGTCCTCATGCTACTCAAGCATGAGGTTTCCTGAAGATTCACTCGTCACGCTGCTCTGCCAGCTCGGGGGCCCTGGTGGGGTGGAGGTCCACCCCGGCCTGCGGGCTGCCAGGGCGCTTCAGGGGCCTGAGTGCCCTCCACAACCATCTCTATCCCGCTGTCATTGCTTCCCACGCATGCCCTGTGGTGGGCCATGCTGAGCACCTCTGCTCTCCTTGCCAGCCAAGTATGTCCCTCCTCCAGGCCCTGCCTCCTCTTAGAGTCCTTCTCCCAGCTCTCCTGGAACCCTTGCAAAGCCCTCCTGTTCAGGAAGCCTGTCCCCCCTTCCCTCAGCCCTCCCCCTGCCCAGCCCACCTAACCTCCCTCTCCTGGCCCAAGCAAATGTTATTGGTGCCTGTGACCTACCAGGCCATCTTCCTGAGTGGATGTTTGTGCGACTGTGTGTGTACACGTGTGCAGGGGATGAGGAGGCCGCTGTGTGTGCCAGTGTGTGATCGTGGATGCAGTGGGCTGCAGTGTATGTGCAGAAGTGTGTGGGTGTGAGAACACGTGGGCACGTCTCTGACGGTGTGAACTGGCACACGGTGTGTGCGTGTGTGCTCGCAAGTGCATGCACCCATGTGCATCACACACCTGCGTAGTCTCTAGAGGCTCCTCAGAGGGCCCCTGGCCTCACTCCTCCCCATCCGGGCTCAGTGCCTGGTTGTGGCCCTGGGCTGATGTGGGCTGCCCAGGGCTGTCTAGGGCTATCCTGGGCTATCCGAGGCTGTCCGGGGCTGTCCTGACTGTCTGAGGCTGTCCGGGGCTGTTCTGGCCTGTCTGAGGCTGTCATGGGCTGTCTAAGGCTGTCCTGGACTATCAGAGGCTGTCTGGGGATGTCCTGGGCTGTCCGAGGCTGTCCTGGGCTGTCCGAGGCTGTCCTGGGCTGTCTGGGGCAGTCCTGCACTGTCCTGGGCTGTCTGGGGCTATCCTGGGCTATCCTGGACTGTCTGAGGCTGTTCTGGGCTGTCCGAGGCTGTCTGAGGCTGTCCAGGGCTGTCTGGGGCTGTCTGGGGCTATCCTGGGCTGTCCTGGACTGTCTGAGGCAGTCTGGGGCTGTCCTGGGCTGTTCTGGGCTGTCCAAGGCTGTCCTGGGCTGTCCGAGGCTGTCCTGGGCTGTCTGGGGCAGTCCTGCATTGTCCTGGGGTGTCTGGGGCTATCCTGGGCTGTCCTGGACTGTCTGAGGCTGTTCTGGGCTGTCCGAGGCTGTCTGAGGCTGTCCAGGGCTGTCTGGGGCTATCCTGGGCTGTCCTGGACTGTCTGAGGCTGTCTGGGGCTGTCCTGGGCTGTTCTGGGCTGTCCAAGGCTGTCCTGGGCTGTCTAGGGCTGTCTGGGGCTGTCCTGCACTGTCCTGGGCTGTCTGGGGCTGTCCTAGGCTGTCCGGGGCTGTCTTGGGCTGTCCTGGATTGTCTGAGGCTGTTTTGGACTGTTCTGGGGTGTCTGAGGCTGTCCGAGGTTGTCCTGGACGGTCTGGGACTGTCTGGAGTTGTCCTAGGTTGTCCTGGGCTGTCCGAGGCTGTCCTGGGCTGTCCAAGGCTGTCCAAGGCTGTCCTGGGCTGTCCAAGGCTGTTCGAGGCTGTCCTGGACTGTCTGGGTCTGTCTTGAGCTGTCCTGGGCTTTCCGAGGATGTCCTGGGCTGTCTTGGGCTGTCCTGGGCTGTTCTGGGCTGTCCTGGGCTGTCCAAGGCTGTTCTGGGCTGTCTGAGGCTATCCTGGGCTGTCCTGGGCTTTCTGAGGCTGTCCTGGGCTGTCAAAGGCTGTCCAAGGCTGTCTGAGGCTGTCCTGGGCTGTCCTGGGCTGTTCTGGGCTGTCTGAGGCTGTCCTGGGCTGTTCTGGGCTGTCTGAGGCTGTCCTGGGCTGTTCTGGGCTGTCTGGAGCTGTCCTGGGCTGTTTGAGGCTGTCTTGGGCTGTCTGAGGCTGTCTGGGGCTGTCCGAGGCTGTCCACATCTGTCCAGGGTTGTCCTGGGCTGTCCTGGGCTTCCTGAGGCTGTCCTGGGCTGTTCTGGGCTGTCTGAGGCTGTCCTGGACTGTCTGAGTCTGTTTTGGGCTGTCCTGGGCTTTCCGAGGATGTCCTAGGCTGTTTGGGCCTGTCCTGGGCTGTCCAAGGCTGTCTTGGGCTGTCTTGGGCTGTCCTGGGCTGTCCAAGGCTGTCTGAGGCTGTCCTGGGCTGCCTAGGGTTGTCCTGGGCTGTCTGAGGCTGTCCTGGGCTGTCTGGGGCTGTCTGGAGCTGTTCTGGGCTGTCCGAGGCTGTTCTGGACTGTCTGAGGCTGTCATGGGCTGTCCGAGGCTGTCATGGGCTGTCCAAGGCTGTCCTGGACTATCGGAGGCTGTCTAGGGCTGTCTGGAGCTGTTCTGGGCTGTCCGAGGCTGTCCTGGACTGTCTGGAGCTGTTCTGGGCTGTCTGAGGCTGTCCGAGGCTGTCTGAGGCTGTCCGAGGCTGTCATGGGCTGTCCAAGGCTGTCCTGGACTATCGGAGGCTGTCTGGGGCTGTCTGGAGCTGTTCTAGGCTGTCCGAGGCTGTCCTGGACTGTCTGGAGCTGTTCTGGGCTGTCTGAGGCTGTCCGAGGCTGTCTGGGGCTGTCCGAGGCTGTCATGGGCTGTCCGAGGCTGTCATGGGCTGTCCAAGGCTGTCCTGGACTATAGGAGGCTGTCCGAGGCTGTCCTGGGCTGTCTGGGGCTGTCCGAGGCTGTTTTGGGCTGTCCAGGGCTGTCCAGGGCTGTCTGGAGCTGTTCTGAGGCTGTCCTAGGCTGTCCTGGGCTGTCCTGGGCTGTCTGGGGCTGTCTGGAGCTGTTCTGGGCTGTCCGAGGCTGTCCTGGACTGTCCGAGGCTGTCCTGGGCTATCTTGGGCTGTCCAGGGCTATCCTGGGCTGTCCAGGGCTGTCTAGGGCTGTGTTGGATACAGGTTTCTGGCTGGGTCCCAGTCTGGATCAGGCTTACCTTGTCTGAATAGATGGACATCCGGGTGGTCAGCCCTAGCACAGGGATGCGGTAGAAGCCGGCTGTGTAGGAGACGGGAGTAGGGGTGAAGTGGTCGTTGGGGGTGGGAGGATGACTGACTAGAATGGCGTAGACCTGTGGACACAGGAGACAGAGTCAGCTTGCTGAGGACTGGCTGGCACTCGGCCCTCTGTGGCCCAGGGCTGGGGTGCAGATGGTGCCGCGTGTGTGCACAGGCCTGGGCACCCCTGAGGAGAAGGAATGAGCCCGCCACTGTGCCCTGTCAGCAAACCTACTGTGGTCAGGGCAAAGGTAGGGCAGAAATCTACAGGCAGCGCATGGCACGTGGTAGCTGGTGGCTCCCTGGCCAGTGGTCCTCCTCCCGCCCCGCACAGGGCCGCCCCCGGGCTATGGCTGGGGACCTCCTGGGGAGGGTGGCAGCCAATTCTTGTGGTTTCCCCAACGCCTGCACATGCGCCCACCCTGGTAGGGGCTGGGAGAATGGCTGGTCCTGCCACGTGCTCTCCCTCTTTCTGGGTGGGAGAGAGGAGGTTGGGATGCAGACACAGGCAGGCGGGCAGTGGAAAGGTCTGTGTGAACGCTAGAGGGAGTTCAGCCAGGAGCCGCCAGGGTGCATGGCTCCCTTTGCTGGAATCCCACTGTCTGGACAAGAGACAGCCCGGAGTGAGACCCACGCCTGGCTCAGAGCGCCGACCTCAGCTTCCGGGACAGGCTTGTCCGGGGAGGGGCCTTCTCCCAGCCCTCTCCAGGCAAGAAGTCACAGGGAGTGCCCGGGGCTGTCCACACCGCCCTACCTGAGCCTCTATAGCTACAGGTCCTACCAACTCCTCAGGAGGGACCACGTGCAGCTCACCAGCAGGGAGGGCGTGAGTGACAGCCGTTGGCCACTATTGGCCCTGGCCAGGTGGAGGGACCGGCCCGCAGACCGGCACACTGTGAGCCGCTGGACGGCCTCTTCCCTCCACTCCCAGAACTTGGGGTGAAAGCCACCACTGCCATGGGGCCTCATCCACTCCCATCCCTTGGTTCCCGGGCTGGAGGGTGTCGGGTGGCAGGGCGAGAAGGGGGCTTCTGGGCTGAGGGCCATAGTGTGGCCCCACACTTGAGGCAGTGTGCACCCAGAGGGGCTGGAAGAGGCCGGGCCTAGGTCAGGTCAGTGCTCACATGCAGGTACGTGGGGCTGGCAGGTGCTCACGCGTGTGCTGAGGCATCCGTCACACCTGTCTGCGTGATCAGATAAGTGCTGGAAGCACACGTGTGAAGGTGGGTGTGGGCACGTGCAGTGGTCTGCAGTCCATTGTGCCATGCTGGTTCACACGTATGTGGGCTGAGTGTGCCTGTGGTGGGCATGGCGCCCGAGAGCTGCCAGCCCTGCCTCTTACATAAAGGGCCGCATTGCAGCTCCATGGGGCTTCATTGGGATGCGAAAGGCAGCTCAGCCAGGGAGGGGGGAGAGCTCAGCCTGGGGAGGGGGGAGAGCTCAGCCTGGGGAGGGGGGAGAGCTCAGCCTGGGGAGGGGGGCGAGCTCAGCCTGGGGAGGGGGGACAGCCCAGCCTGGGGAGGGGGGAGAGCTCAGCCTGGGGAGGAGGGAGGATAGCTCAGCCTGGGGGGAGGGAGAGCTCAGCCTGGGGAGGGGGGAGAGCTCAGCCTGGGGAGGGAGAGCTCAGCCTGGGGAGGGGGGAGAGCCCAGCCTGGAGAGGGGGGAGAGCTCAGCCTGGGGAGGGGAGAGGACAGCTCAGCCTGGGGGGGAGGGAGAGCTCAGCCTGGGGAGGGGAGAGGACAGCTCAGCCTGGGGGGGAGGGAGAGCTCAGCCTGGGGAGGGGAGAGGACAGCTCAGCCTGGGGGGGAGGGAGAGCTCAGCCTGGGGAGGGGAGAGGACAGCTCAGCCTGGGGGGGAGGGAGAGCTCAGCCTGGGGAGGGGAGAGGACAGCTCAGCCCGGGAAGGGGGGCAGCTCAGCCAGGGAGGGGGGACAGCCCAGTCTGGGGAGGGGGGAGAGCTCAGCTTGGGGGGGGGCAGCTCAGCCCGGGAGGGGGGCAGCTCAGCCCGGGCCGCAGCACCACAGGCGGCACCGACGCACCCAGCTGAGCCCGGCACGGCGGGCACGCGGTCCCGCCACCCCCCGCGACACGCGCGGCCCCCGCCCCCGCCCCGCCACCTGGCTCGCGGTGACATCGGCGAGCGGGGAGAGGGAAGAGGGGGTCTAAAATAGAAACAAAGATGTCCTCGCTCCTCCCGCCGCCCTCCGGGAGCAAACCCAGCCGGGCAGCCGCGTGCGCCGGGGCAGCGGCGGGACCGGAGCGGGGCGCGGGGCGCGGGGAGGGAGGAGCGGGGCGGGCGGCCGGCGGGGCTGGAGCGGGGCGCGGGGCGCGGGGCGCGGGGCGCGGGGCGGGCGGCGCACCTGGCTGGAGATGAGGTCCTCGCACACCGACAGGGCCATCTGGATGGCGTTGGGCTTGTGCGTGACCGAGGTGGCGTTGAGCTGGATCTTCCAGGCGCCGTGCCGCTTGTTGGCCTGGTTCACCGCCTCGCGGAACATCTGCTCGTGCTTGCGCGTGCTCAGCACGGCGCCCACGTTGACGATCTTGGGGTCGCAGGCGGCGCGGGCGAAGGAGCAGGAGAAGAGCAGGGCGAGCGGCAGCAGCCGCATGGTGCTCATGGGCCCGGGCCGCGCCCGCCCCGCGCCGCCCAGCCCGCTCCGCGCCCGCCGGGGACGTCGGGACCCGGGCTCCGCGGGCGCTGTCCGCGGTGCTGCCCCGGCGCCGCGCTGCGCCTCGGCTCGGCGCTGCGGGGGCGGCGGCGCTGCGCGGGGCGGCGCCGTGGACCGGGGCCGCCTCCTCCCGCGCTCCCGCGGGTCGGCCGGCCGAGCGCGCCTGCGTGCGCGTGTGCCCGCGCGTGAGCGGGACGGGGGGGGGGGGCCGTGCGTGCTCGTGTGCCCGCGCGTGAGCGGGACGGGGGGGGGGCTGTGAGCGCGCGTGAGCGGGACAGGGGGGGGGGGCTGTGCCCGCGCGTGAGCGGGACGGGGGGGGGGGCTGTGCGTGCGCGTGTACGTGCGCGTGTGCCCGCGTGTGAGCGGGACAGAGAGGCTGTGCGTGTGCGTGTGCGTGCGCGTGAGCGGGACGGGGGGAGGGCTGTGCGTGCGCGTGTGCCCGCGCGTGAGCGGGACGGGGCGGTGCTGTGCGTGCGGGTGTGCGCCTTGCACGCCTGCGGAGCCCGGCGCGGTGCAGTCTGGACCCCCGCAGGGCTGGCCGCGCCCGCCACCACGCGCAGCACCCCCGTGCCGTCACCTCCACGCTGCCTGCCCGCGTTCCCGCCGCCTTAGACGACGCCTCTGGGAAGAAGCACGGCCCAGCCTCGGTCACTCCCGGGCCCCGCCTGGAAGTGGGCACCGGTGGCGCACGCCTGTCATCCCAGCTGCTCAGGAGGCTGAGATCTGAGGATCGTGGTTCAAAGCCAGCCCGGGCAGAAAAGGCTGAGACTCTCATCTCCAATTAACCACCAGAAAGCCAGAAGTGGTGCTGTGGCTCAAGCGGTCCAGTGCTGGCCTTGAGCTGAAGAGCGCAGGGACAGCGCCCAGAGTTCAAGCCCCACCACCGACCAAATAAATTAATGTCAGTTCACTGCTGGCTCATTGAGGCAGCTAGCTTCCAGGGCCAACTGCCCTGCACCGCAGCCACCCATACCTGCCCCCTAACGAGGTCCCAGGCAGCCACACACCTCAGGACAGTGTCCACAGAAATCATCACTGTGGGCTGGGAAGGTGGCTCAGTGGCAGAGTGCTCACCTAGCATGCATGAAACCCTGGGTTCGATTCCTCAGTACCACATACACAGAAAAAGCCGGAAGTGGTGCTGTGGCTCAAGTGCTAGAGTGCTAGCCTTGAGCACATCCAGGCTCAGGGATAGCGCCCAGGCCCTGAGTTCAAGCCTCACGACCACCCAAAGAAAATATATGGGGAAGATGAGACGAGCTGGGGAGGTGGCGCGAGGCCCAGGCCCGCACCAGGTCCATCGCCACACACGCAGTGCTGTGATGTCTTTGACGCCCTGGCAATAGTTTCCTGTTTCAAAAATCTGTGGGGATGCTGCTACCATCTTGGCCCTCCCCTCCCAGGCTTGGAAGGCCAGCAGGGGGACAGTGGCAGAGCCCAACAGCACAGGCCTGGACCTCGGGAGACACCTCCAGCCCTGATTCCTACCTTCTCCAGCCCCTCTTGGAACAAGTGCTCATGTCCCTCCCCAGCCCTTGCCATCCACTGTCCCAATGCTTTGGCCCTTCTAGCCCCTAAGTGAGTGTGCTACTTCTCCCAAACTCAAGACTGCTGAAGGCCCACCCCCGCAGTGACATCACATCTCCAATAGCAACCCTGGGGTCCGCAGACTGGCAGAAGCCCTCCAGGAGGACCTGCCGGTGGTCTCCACCCCCAGGTGCTGGGCAGTGCAGTGGGGGGGGGTACGTGACACACTCTGCCCCTTGTCACTGTCACAGCCACGGAGCTGAGGGGAGGGGCAGGGGCTGCTGTGTATTTGGCATTGGTCTAGCTTCCAGTTCTGGCCCCTTCCCTCTAAATGGCTGGGGGCTTATACATCTGCATCCAGCCTCTCTGCCCTGGGCTCAGCCCTGCAGAGGGAATGCCAGGAGTGCCAGCCTGGGGCCACATTGCTCCAGCAGCCCTCAGGTGGGCACAGGAGTAGTGCTGGAGGCCCAAGGCAGACCCGATCTATGGAGGGTTTGCAGTCTATCGCCAACTTTCTTGTAGCCTCTGGCAGGCCAGAGCTTGGAGGCTGTGTTGGAGCTGGCCTGTATCTAGATGGCTCCAGGATGAGCCAGAAAGGAAAAGTCCTTGTGGGAGCTACCAGTCCAATCCCCTCCCCTAGTGGGGTGCAGGAGCCAGCTTCTACTGCTTCTGGAGAGTTGATGGTTAAGCTTTGGGAATATGTGGGCCAGTTGTTATATAGGTAGAAACCTAAAATTGGTCATGGCGGAGTTACTTATACCACGAAAGACCTCAAGCTCTTGGTGCTAGCTCACAAGCCTCTCCAGGCTGTGTGGCCTGACATCTTGTGGCAAGCCTCCGAGATCCTGGTGAAGCATCCCTGGGGCCCTGTGCCCATGCTTCCCTGGCTGCATCTCCATCCCACATCGTGGAGAACTCGCAGCTATAGACCTGGACCTTGCGGTGCCTACTGCTATGATGGGTGAAAACCCTGGGCTGGAACCTTGCCAAGCTCGGGGAAGACAAAGACTGAGGACTGTCGGCCACAAAAGACAGACGGGGTCCGTTCCCCAGCCTCCCTTAACCTGGGAGACGATCAGACGTGGGGGGAGTCAAGTCAAGCAGGAAAACTCGTTTATTAACACAGAGCAAGCCCTTTTTAAAGCAAAAAAGAGCGGGTGTCATGGCAGGGGCAGAAGAGGAACCAATCACTGTCAAGGTCACACCCTATCATGCACCTAAGCTTCCACAGGCTGGTTACACACTGAACCTAAAGCAAATTGGGCTCTGCCCACTCAACTCCCCCTCAGCGCCATCTTTGCTGCCCATGTGCTCCACAGAGGACGTGGTCAAGAGACCGGGAGCTGCCCTGGGCTGAAGCCTGGTCAACCCTCAGGCCCTGGACGGGAATGGGGTCTTGCTGTGACCTAGGCCTGGGTGGGAAAGTGTCTCCTCTGTTATGATCCACAGGGAGGGGCTTTCAGCACATCCCACACCCACCTGTCCTCTAGCAAATGCAGTCTGCAGGGGCTGCTCCTCCCCAGGTCAACCTCCTGGCTCCAGGAAGGTCGGATGGCACAGATACAACCCCACTTCGGCCTCAGTCCATTAGTAAAGAGGTTGTTGCACGACCCAAGCCAAGTCCCAGAGGTTCCTCCCTAGTATTTTAGCCAGATTAAAACCAGGACAAGGCTGGAAATATGGCTTCATTGTAGATTGCTTGCTCAGCATACATGAAGCTCTGGGTTCGATTACTTCAGTACCACATACACAGAAAAAGCCGGAAGTGGCGCTGTGACTCAAGTGGTAGAGCTCTCATCTTGAGCTGAAGAGCTGAGGGACAGCGCCCAGGCCCAGAGTTCAAGCCCCACAACTGACAAAAACAAAATAAAAAAATCTAACAGGACAAGACCAAACTCATCATCCTCTGGAGGCGAAGCCCGGAGAAATGGGGCTTGAGGTCTTCTGTGGATACATTTCCACCAAGTACAAGTCAGTTTGAGAGAGGCCAGGCAGGAGGCATGTCCAGACTTCGTTGCTTTACTGGCCATATGGGCAGAGGACAGGCCATCACCAGGGTCCAGCTGCTGAGGGGCATTGCCGTTGCATCAGAACTGGAGGGCAGGGCTACCTGTCAGCAGACCAAAGCTGTGGCCTTCTAAAATCCACTTAAAGAAGCAGGGAGCTGGGGCTGGGAAGGTGGCTCAGTGGTAGAGTGCTTGCCTTGCATGCCTGAGGCCCTGGGTTCGATTCCTCAGCCCCACATAAGCAAAAAGAAAAAAGCCGGAAGTGACGCTGTGGCTCAAGTGGTAGAGCGCTAGCCTTGAGCTGAAGAGCTGAGGGACAGTGCCCAGGCCAGAGTTCAGGACCCATGACTGGACCAAAAAAAAAAAAAAAAAAAAAAAAGCAGGGAGCTGAGGGCCTTGCCGAAAATGCCAGCGAGCAGCCGACGACTGCCAGGGCCCCAGTACCCGGCCACTGACCGCACCACAGCCTTTATTGCTTCAGCCTGTCTTTCCAGATAAGGCCCTAGGCTTTTTGGCCAGCCTTGATCCTTGATCCTCCTACCTCTGTCCCCACGTAGCTGACACCACAGACATGCTGCCATGGCTGTGTTTTTTTTTTTTTTTTTTTTGCCAGTACCCAGGCTTAAACTCAAACCTAGACTCTTCTTTTTAAATCAATTTACTTTATTGTTACTATTTTTCTTTTTGGTCATAGGGCTTGAACTCAGGGCCTGGGTGCTGTCCCTCAGCTCTTCAGTTCACAGTGCCACTTCAGGCTTTTTCTGTTTATGTGGTGCTGAGGAATCGAATCCAGGGCCTCATGCATGCAAGGCTAGCACTCTACCACTGAGCCACCTTCCCAGCCCCCTTTATTGTTATTATAATAGTGCTAAACAGAAGGATTACATGAGTCAGGTGACGCGTACATTTCCTTTCTACAGTGTCTTCTGTTCCCTCTCTCCTATTCCCTCCCTCCCACCTCCACCCACAAGTAATGTAGTTCATTTTCATCAGAGTCCAGTGAGCGCCACTACTGCACTTGTTCACCCTTCTCCCCCCCCCCAGTTCTGTGCCCTCCCCCCACCCTCTGAAGACACACTTGATATACACTTGAATACACCTTCCATCCAGAAGACAGAATCATCAAAAAATAAAAAGCCAGGTGCCAGTGGCTCATGCCTCTAACCCTAGCTACTCAGGAGGCTGAGATCTGAGGATCATGGTTCAAAGCCAGCCTGGGCAGGAAAGTCTATGAGACTCTTCTGTTAACCACCAGAAAACTGGAAGTAGCGCTTTGGCTCAAGGGGTAGAGTGCTCACTTTGAGCTGAAGAGCTCAGGGACAGCGCCCAGGCTCAGAGTTTAAGCCCCGCGACAGACCAAAAAACAGAAAAAACCTGGAAGTGGCACTGTGGCTCATAGCCTTGAGCAAAAGCAGCTGAGG